AAAGTACATTGACACTGAAAAAATCGATATTCAAAAATTAGTACGTTGATAACAACAAAAAAAATTGATGTAGATGTAAATAAATGATATATATTTTTTTTAAATTAAAAAAAGTTTTGAGCGCAAATGAAGGACATTGTAATTGGATACGCACTTTGAATAGCAAACCTTGTGAAAATGATAACGTCAGGATTCATAATAGGTTATGAAAAAAAAAAAAAAAAAAAAAAAAAATAATAATAGAAAAAAAACAACAACAATAAATTGAGCTAAAAAGCACTTGGAAGAGCACTGCTTGTATTGGCGCCAAAAATAATGTTGAAAACTGATAATCACACGGATTTAGACGGAATGATAGCGTTATAGTAAATAAATTGAAACAAAAATAAAATAAATTGTATAAACAAATAAAAAACATAATATATGATATTAGCAAATGTCATTTCTCTGAATTCCACACATTTTAACGGTTTTTAATTTCAAATAGTGAAGCAAAAGTTATATTCAAAAACAAAACTTGTTTCTTATTTTTATAAATTATACTCTAGATCGTTGTGTTATTTTTCTCATCATTAAAAACGTCCGATTCGTTAAGATTTTAATGAGAGTGGTGTGCGTTACGATTATACGATTACCATTTGACCACATCAGAAAGCAAAACCTTTCTAAAGTTGTTTTAAAATATTCTTAACAGAGCATATAATTGTAATATGTATATATTCTTTCCAATATTTATGTTATATAATATTTGATGTTTACGATATTTTAGATTTATAAGTTATGCTTCGATATCATAACATAAAAATATTCCAATATTTATTTATATGCCTCCAATATTTATTTATATGGTTTTACAAGAAATTTAATACAAATTTTCACTACATTGATCAGACTTCTGTATGAATATTGTTAACTAATCATTAACTTTATTATTATAAAATATTACTTTAATTATAATTATAAAAGTCATTATTATATTATGAATTTTTCGATTTAGTTTTATTATCAATTTTTTTCTTATGTTATACTTTATTATTACAGTTATTATTTTTATAATACCTGTTATTAATATTATACTTAAAATTTTGTTAATATTATTAAATATTACATTAAAAAAAAAAATTAATATATTAAATTATTATATTATGAATTTTTCGATTTTGCTTTATTATCATTTTTTTTCTTATGTTATAATTTATTATTACAATTATTATTCTTATAATACCGTAACACGGTACTTTGGCCAGCGGGGTTACTTTGGCCATTTTTAAAAACTTTAATTAAACATCTGTAACTTTTAAACAGTGAAGTAACGTTTTACTATTTTAAATAATAAAACGTTACTTAACCGTTTAAAAGTTACAGATATTTAAATAAACTTTTTAAAAAATGGCCAAAGTAACCCCGCTGCCAGAGTAAACCCGTGTTACGGTACCTGTTATTAATATTATACTTAAAATTTTTTTAATATTATTAAATATTATATTAAAAAAAAAACTAATATATTAAATTATTATATTCAACATTTTTTGCGTGTTTTTTTAAATGTACTTTTGTTCATTTCAAAAATTTCAACTTAGAAACAAAATTGACAAACTATTAGCTGTCTGCTGATGTAGAAGTAAAGAAATCTATAAAAATAATTAAACCGCACGTTTTACAAGGTAAAACAAATTTTCACAACGGTTTAGAATTCTAAAGTTTTTAAATTTATGGCTCAAAAAAATATAACAGTAAAACACTGAACCACTTTAGGGTAGCTTGGATCAAAAAATTTTAGGTCTCAATTGTATTTAACTTTGAAAAAATAAAATAATATTCAAATGATATTTAAAAAAAGACTCAGTCAGCTCTCTTAACATCGCGTCACGGCAATTTTTTTTTATTAATATTTTTTACAATTATAATTTTACAATTATAATTAGAATTTTTTGAATTAAAAAAGCAAACGAAAACATATTGATTGTATTAATAATAACCATTTTTATCACAATGCCCATATATATGTGTATGGGTGGTTAGTAAAATGCGAACTGCGAACCGGTAAAAAAATTAGATTGTATTTATTTTAAGTTAAATATAATTTATGTTTCTGCCTTAAGTCCATAAAATATATAGTAAAATAAACAATTTAAAGGCAAACGGAAAATGAAAAGCATTACATAATTAACAACCAATACAACTATGGTTCGAAAAAAAGTTCGCATTTTACCGGTTCGTAGTTCGCGGTTCGCATTTTACCGACTACCGCTTGTATGTTGTTGTTGTTGCGTGTATATTTACACAAACACCTGTTAAAAACATTTTTAAATTTGTTTGTAACTAATATTTAAATATAAAAAAGAGTAAAAAAACAACAAATATCAAGTATAAATGTTTTTTAACATGAAATTTATAAATATACTGATAATGTGCAATTACTTCTTCATATTATTTACAATAATATATTTGACAAATTTTGCGTAAAAACTTAAGAGCCATTACAGAAACAAAAACACAAATTTAATCACAAGCAAGTGTCAAACAACTTCATCGGTATAATTGTTTGGCACTTGCTTGTTATTAGCCCGGCATATAATTTAAAAACCGTTCAAATTTTATGCAACAATTCTTGTCACAAAATGCAACATTATATAAACTATTTCACTAAACATTTCCAGGTTTTTTTTCCAAGGCTGTTAATGAGATGGATTTATAACGTCATATTTTTTTTTGTTTCTCTTTTTCTTTCCGAATTAAGAAAAGTTTTTTGTTTTGTTTTACTGATAACTCTTCTAAACAAAGTTATTATAAAAAATCCTCTAGAATCCTTTTAATTTGTTACTACCCACACGGCATTAGAAACTTATCTATACGAAAATCTTATTTCAAATGTAAAACACGGTAGTCGCCATAATTTGTAATTTATATTTCTGTTAGAGAAAGCAAAATTATGGTTGCGTAGTATACATATTTCAGGAAGAGAAATATTTTTGCTGTGAAATTAAAACGCGGTTACCGCCATAATTCGAGAAGTACATTTTAGTTGAGAATTTGAAAACGTAGTTGTCAACAAAATTGATAGGCTGAGATCACAAAAAGTGTTCTTATAGTTCGAAAGGTGCATCTTTGTTGAGAATATTTATAAAATAATTAAAAAATGGTCGTTTAAAAAAACAAACAAACAAAGGGATCTAAGTGATTAAAAGAAAAAAAAAATTAAAGAAATTAACAAAAGATTAATGAAACCAAACAGACAAGTAGAAATCTATTTTTAGCATAGACAATATAATAGACAATAAATGGACTAGCACAATTGTTAAGGTATTAGTCCTTTTTTACTGATATAAAAATATTTTTAAAAAACCACAAGCGACTAACACTTGAGTAAAGAAAATAAACGCAACGATTAATGTATATACCAAATTTAATTTATATTAAAAAAACAAAGGAGCTTCATTTTTTTTTTCTATCGTTTTCTTTTATGTAAATACTTTAAGTGTTACTATCGAACTTTACGAATTTTTGAAAATTTTTAATCGCGGAAAATAGTTAAAGATGCCGACTTTTGGCAAGATAAACTTGCAAATCGCTCTAAATATGTGAACATAATGTAATTCAATTGAATCACAGAAAAAAATTATATATATATTGCATTTTAATATAAAATTATTTTTATCATATATTATAACATTCTATAACATAATATATTTATTTAAACAATGTTACGTTTGATATAAAAACCGCAACAAAAAATTCTTTCAATTTTTCCGCCGCTTGTATCAAATCTATTAATTTTAGGTTGGAAATACCATCAGAATCATAGAATCCAAATATTTGGTTTCTATAATCGTCGATTATAAAATCCTAATTTTAAGTTAAAATTGAACCATTTTAATTTCAAATGCAAAACTTTGAAAATTCTGAGACTCAGAAATTTGAGATTTTTAAGATAAAGCTTTCAGATTTTTTCAATAACTCAGATGCAACTACTGTCGGCTACATTGTCACAACAACCCTGATGCAACTACGCTCAGCTACATTCATCTATAAGAAACCTTCATTACATAAGAAAATCTTTAAAATTTTTGTCTCAATCAATTTTTTATTCTCGAAAAAACGCTTTTAATGTACTTTACACAATTCAGGTATTGTAAAATTTATCTTTATAGTAAATTTATTTAGAGTGTACTTTACACAATTCAGGTATTGTAAAATTTATCTTTATAGTAAATCTACCAATAATGCATGGAATTCCTCAAAAAATTTTTCCTGCTTTTTTTGGCTTATTGACATATCCTTGTACTTTTGTTTAGGATAAATTCATATCCCAAAGAATTTAAATCAAGCTTTAGCTTTTATTTCAGCATTACAAAAGATTTTATCATTCATTCTTATCTGTTGCATTTTGGTTTGGTTACAGACAATAAACGCAAACACAAATTTCTTAACTAATGTAATAATAATAGGAAAAAAATAATTTATATAAAACTAAATTATATAAAACTAAAGCTTTTAAAATGTTATTTCCTGGTTTATATCTGGTCTTAGTACTGCTAGACCCAGACCTTGCAAAATATTTTGTGAACTATCTCTAAAACCAAATCTATACTTGTTGTTTTTGTTGTCAGCATCCTTAACAACATCTTATGAAATCATGCTTGCACAAATCGTGCTTTCATCTATAGTCACAATTATAGTGTACAGGCTCTAAATCTAATACTTTTACGTCACTATCTATTCTTGCCAAGTTTTCTCTACCTACATACTTTTTCTATATACACAAACTTAATATTATGAATATTATGCAAAATTATTTGATAAAATATGTACGATCATAATGTGATATTGACAACATTTAATTGACTTTGTAAACAAGAATTCAATCACAATCACGTCTTTCATTTAACCCTATAGTTAGCACATAAATTTACATGCTTTTAATTAAATAGACACATATAGTTAGCCTATAAAAAAGGCATTCCAAAAAAAGAAACTGTTTAAACCAGTTTTTCTCAAAAATTTGCGGACTAAGTAACTTTTAACTTTAATCTAATGAACCTACATTGTTTACTCATCTGTTGAGTTAACATTCAATATGTATAACTAATTTTAAAATTCTGTTGTTTTTCTAAAACTGTATTTAACTTCCTTTGAGAGAGAGGGTTTAAAAGGTAAGATAAAGGCTGTTAAAAGCTATTTTTATTATTTTTTGTTTAATTCTCAACCCTATAACTCTGACAATCTTGTAACTCTGAAACGAGCCATCACAAGTTTTGTACAGCTGTGTGATGAAACAAGCTGAGCACTGCACTACCATGCTGTGTGCGTTAGAAATCAAATTTAAAATTTCTTACTTATGAAGCAAGTGCTTTACCAATACACCAATAATGCATTAGGTTTTATTACAACCTACTAACTGGGTTAAAAAACATTATTGCTGTAAATTATTCTTACCAAACAAAATAACAATTAAATTTGTACTTAAAGACAAGCTTTCCTTTAGTTATGAGCAAATTAATATTTTCCAATATTCACTTACTTGTTTAGCCCATAATAATTTATAGCATGTCATACAAAACAATGCTTTCAATGTGTTGCATGCAACAAAAATCAACCAGTCATTAAAATATCGAGTGTTTAAATAAAATTAAGTTTTAACATTGAAATTTGTGTCATTATAAATTTATATGGGTGTATGACTTAACATCTCATAACAAAAAAAGTATTTAGGCAGAGAAAATATAAATAAAATTTAAACAAAATATTTTAATTTCAAGTGTAAAAAATTTTAAATACGATAAATTATCATATTTTTACTTTTTTACTATGCATTTATATTTTATAAATTATTTATAAGTTTATTTTTCAACATTAAATATTATAAAACATGTAATATGAAAAAAAATATGGAAAAAAAGTTCCAATTAACAAATAATGAATTGTTTAAAATCTATTCAATATAGGAAAGTAATCTACTTCAGTTACAGGTTTCAAACCACAACTCAAAACTTCCTACTGAAAAACACAAAGTATTTGATTCACCTTGATATAACTACAAAGAATGCAACATCATTTTCATAACATCATTTTCATAACACTTTTGCTTTTGGCTTAAAAGTTTAGTGATAAATGATATATTTAAAAAAAAAAAGGATTTTTTTTTGCTCTATTCAAAAGAGATGTACTTTTTGCTTCGCAAAGATATTTGTAAACTTTGTACTTAGTCTCTAACAAACAAAAACATAACTAACATCATTTTACAATTTAAAATAAAATTACAGCAGTTACCTGCATTGAAAGTTTATAAAAGACTTGAGAAAAAATTAAGAAACAAAGATTTGTTAACCAAAAAAATAAAATGAAAATGTAGATTCAATATACTGAAGATTTTGACTTAAAATGAAAGGTTAAACAAAAGAAGACAACAAATATTTAAAAAACCATAACTATACCAAGAACCAATGCATCATTAAAAGATACCTTGTTTATCAAGTGTTAATTAATGATTTGATCTTCATGCTTTATGAATCATCTCAAAAGTTCTAGAGACTTTTTAGAGAAAAATCTTTAATAGTGTCATTAATAAAAGACAAATCTAACATTCTCTAATACATAAATATTATTACATCACTAAGGACATAACTATTTTTAAAAAATTAAATTTTAGAGGAAAAAATTTTAGAGGAGATTTTGAATCTAATTGAGAGGACTTTTTTTCACAAAGCTAAAATAATTTGAAAAAAAATTTAGAATTTTAGAGTTTTTTTTTGAGGTCAATAATACTTTTTTTTTTCATGTTAAATGACATGGATTTGCTAAATAATTTTTTACAACCTAATGTCTTTTTTGTTAACCAGCTTTGCAAACCATAAAAGAAATAAAAAAATAAAAAAGCGGAGTTAAAGAAATTTGATCACATTTTCAACTTTTTAGAGGGTAATAGAGGATTTAAGAGGAGATTTTTTGAAAAAAGAGTACTTTAAAGGATTTTAGAGGAGCTGTCCCTACCCTGTTAATGCTTTTAACATATTAAAGGCTTTTGATAAGATATGGTTTTCTTTTAATAAGATATGAACTTCTTTTGATAAGATATGATCTTCTTCATAAACTTCTTTTTTTATGGTATTTATGAAAACTTTTAAAAAATTCCTTCCTGCCTCTAATCTTATCTCTAATGTCTCTAATCTTATCTCTATTTGCTGATGATACAAATATAGTCTCTACAAAAACTCATCACATTTATATTGCTTAGAACAGACAGTTGTTCTCAAGTGTAACAATTTTTGGGCCTCACAGTTGCAGTCACAATGAAAACTCAAACAAAATCTTAAACTAATAATAATTGCATAATTATTAGTAATATTATTATAAGTAAACTATTAATATTACAAATAATTATTAAATAATTTATGCTTCTATATTAATATATGGGAACACTGCAACGGGATCTTATATTTTACATCTCAGGTTATCTTTCACTACTGATTTATGATATTCATGAATATAAATATATAAATAGATTAGATATATGGTATTCATGAATACCATATATCTAATCTATTATATATCTAATCTATATATATAGATATCTCTCTCTCTCTCTCTCTTTCTCTCTCACTCACTCACTCACTCACTCACTCACTCACTCACTCACTCACTCTCTCTCTCTCTCTCTCTCTATATATATATATATATATATATATATATATATATATATATATATATATATATATATATATATATATATATATATATATATATATATGACCATATCTATTTTACACCATATATATTTATCTCCAATCTATTGCATAGTAAGCACCTACTAAAGTTGCTTCTATTTGCTGTTTTTTTTTACTCTTTATTTTATACTCTACCTTTATAAATCTCTTATCAGTCTGTGTATTGATCCCTATTGTTATATTTAGGCTAGTATTTTTAATATTTTTTCTTTTGGACAAGGTTTAAAAAGGAAGTGTAAGCATAATTGCAAAAAATTGACAGAATTTAAAAAAAGGGGGATCTGATAAAAAAACCTCTTTCGACAAAAAATTAAGGAAAAAAAATTAATGTTTTATCTGCTAAGGTTTAAATACTATAATTTATATTACTATAATTACTATTTATCTACTAATGGTTTAATAAGGCTTGTACTAATAAAAAAATATAATATTTTTTCATTTGGACAAGGTCTAAAAAGGAAGTGTAAGCATAATTGCAAAAAATTGACAGAATTTAAAAAAGGGGATCTGATATAAAAACCTCTTTCGACAAAAAATTAGGGAAAAAATTTTTATATTTTATATAATTGGAAATTTTATACTCTTTTTCTCAAACTAAAAAAAAAAAATTTTGCTCAGTTGGAGAGAGGGGAAGAGGGAGTTAGAGGGAATATAATTTAATATTATTTTATAATTTTTAGTTTTTACAATTATTTTAGCTTTTTTTTTTGAGCTGTGACCTCTTAATTAAAAATCAAAAACTCAGTTTTTTTTTATTAATAATTTAAAAATTTATTGTTATAAAAATATTGCATAATATATTTTAAGACAAATAAAAATAATACTAAATAAATATTAAACAAATTTTCCCTGACAGGTAGTAAAAATTTTTATGCATCTTTATTAACTAGCTTCAACATTAAAATTTATGAAAATGAATATTAAAATGATTCTATTCAGTAAAATATTGGAAAGATCGGAAGCAACTAAGTAACTAAATTTAGTAAATTTAATTTATTAAATCAGTCATTAAAAAGTTAAAGAATATTTTTGCTTGAAAAAAAAAAAAAAAAAAAAAAAAAAAAAAAAAAAAATCTTTACACTTCTTTGAAAGTAATAAGTATTCATAACAACAAATTTTAAACCACCAAAAAGAATGATGAAAACTATTTCATTTGCATTCGTTAAAATTTATATGTATTGACCTCAATATATACTTGAAGAGAAAAATCTTACATTTTGTGTAGATGTATTTGATTCTCAATATTAAAGATGCTCTGATAACTTTCCTTAAAATAAAAAAATTAAACCATGAAACCAATAACACCATACCATACAAAGATTCTCCTTTTGTTAACGATGCATCTGAAGGTTTAATTGATAACACAGTTCCACCAAGTTTTTGCATAGCTGATTGGAATGAACATGCTGTTCTAGTACTTGCTTCAAAAAACATTAGCCCAAGAATTTTACCCTAGAAAATCAATATTTTATATACATGCAATATATACTTATACATAAACATACACATATGTATATATACACACACACACACACATATATATATATATATATATATATATATATATACACACACACACACACACACACACACACACACACACACACACACACACACACACAGATATTTATATATGTATATATATATATATATACACACACACACACACACACACACACACACACACACGTTTCCAAAATTTCTTTTTTGCACAAAATTAGAGGTGTTCAAGTAATGGAAAAAAATTACTTAAGTAATTTGAAGTAATTTTTTTTTAATTACTTAAGTAACTTAGGTAATTTTAAATAGTTTTTTCCAAACAATGAAAAATTATATCTAATATTACATTTTTGTGTGATATAGTACTATATATATATATATATATATATATATATATATATATATATATATATATATATATATATATATATATATATATATATATATATATATATATATATATATATATATATATATATATATATATAACAAATAATAACCTAACTAAACTTTCAAGATAGAACGCTGAAAACTTAAAACTTCTATCAATTTATCACTCAAAGATGTTCTCAAATTTGTATTAAAAAAAAAGTCTTGAGTGCTAAAGCATCTTTCTGTAACAATTGATAAAAACTTTAAAGTACAGTGCAATTTTTTAATATTTTTGGACCGTCATTTGATCTTTCAAATTCAGCCTTTTTTTTTTTGATGCAATCAAAAACATTTAAGCCTTGTTTTTAATTAAATTGGAGTTTTGAGCAAGAGATGGAGAAGTTCTTCAGTCTTCAGTTATTCTTTTTTCGTATAGATTCTTTAGCTTCAACATTAGAGGCTTTACATGTATTAAACAATTCACTGTTTTTTTAAATTTGGAGCAATCATATAACTGATAATTACTTATAATTTAGTATTTTTAATTTAAGAATACCCAACAATAACCATGATATCTTTAGAATTTTAGTTTAATAGTTTTTCAAGTTTTTGAGAATTCCATATATAAAGATTTAAAAAAATATGTTTTGTTTTAGTTTCATATGGTTTATTTTTTAACTTTTAGAGAAAAAATATTCACATCAAACAAGAAATAATAGTAATAAAAAAATAAAAAAAAAAAAAAAAAACTGTTTTTGACAACAATAAACATTTTACTTTTCAAGATTAAACTTTTTGGTTTTTCAAGATATAAAGTTTAATCTTGTAAATAAATAAGGATATAAAATAAAAAGATTTAAAAATATTGTTATTTTTAAATATATATGTATATATGTGTCTGTATGTAAACATATATACATAAATAACTTGAATTGCTTGTTTAGATGAGCACTCTGGTGTCACAATGAAATAGCCTGCTGTCGGGGGCTTCAGTACATACATCAACTGAGAAATAGCCTGACTTGCAGCGGAGTGTTGCTACATCGACTGAGGGTTTGGGATGGGGCAGCAAAAAAATGAATATTTTTTGAAGCAAATATATAAATAAATATATTTATGTATGTATGTATGTATGTATGTATGTATGTATGTATGTATGTATGTATGTATGTATGTATGTATGTATATATATATATATATATATATATATATATATATATATATATATATATGTATATATATACATATGTATATATATACACATATAAATATACACACATACATACATTAGAAGAGCCATTACTGGAAGATAACAGCAGGATACCACTCAAAGTTCAAATTGTTGGTCACTATCTGTTCCTGAAAAAATCCATCAAAGGGAGACAAGAACGCATAAAGCAAATTAAGAAAAAAGTAACAAGTTTATGGCAAAAGAAAATAAACTTTTCACACTTGTAAATTCAAGTTACACAGGCATAACTCAAGTGCTAAAGTACGATAATATGAATGAGTAAAATCAGATATTGTTGTTAAAAGTGTAACAGCTATTCTTAATGAATACAATTTATGGAAGATTCATCAATTGATGGAAGATTTCATCTTTATTTCATAAAGATGAAATGTAATTACTGGAAAAAAGAAATTGTCAGTCAGTTACAAAGGCGTTTTACTGAAAAAAACTGGAAAAACCACAATTCATTGGCTGTCAACATGTTTTTGACCAAGTCCTTTGCGTAGTAATGGGTGAAGAACTTGGAGAATGTCACCCAATATCAAATATTTGTTTATTCTGGAACTTATAAAGTACTATGAATAGCTCAGTAAGAGTTTCGAAAAAAAGAAAAAAAAGAAAGGAAAAAAATAATAATTTAAATAAAATAGTTGATTAAAAATCAAAAATTGTTGGCTGCTTAAAAAAAAATAAAAAAAGTTGTCTGCTAAAAACTTTGAAGATAATAAATAAATGTTTAGATAGCATAATAACAAAAATGAACTGAATCTCCAGGCTTTTAAAAAAATTATTTATCTAATGATATTCCTCTTTTTATTCCAAAAAAAATTGGAAAAGATTCAGCTGCAATTGCATCTTTGAAATAAGTTTAACTGCACTGAGTGCCACACTTGCTTCTCTTTTAAATAAATGTACTTCAAGCTTTGATAATTATTCTATTTCTAAACAAAAATTGAGCAGAAAAAAAGTATAAGTCAAATTGTGTGTAATGTTAAAGATAACTTTATTGCACTGACTAAAGGTAAAAGTTTTAGCACTTTGACTCGAAAGTGAAATGAAAAAAGAAAATTGAAAAAGTAGCTTTTGGGTCTAGTAATTGTGAAAGATGGCAACAGAACTGATAATAATCTAAGAGATTTGATAAAGTAATTTAAAGAAACTATAGATTTTTTGTTTACTTTCCATCCATTAACATCAAGGTCATATCAACATTACATCTTGTTGTCAAGACAACAATTGTAACAACAAACATCACAAATACAAAAAGCATAATTTGGTTGTTTTGATTTAATTTTTAGTTTAATTTTATTTAATGTGTTTAATTAAAAAAAAATTTTAATTAAGTTTTTGATATTTGCTTCTGAATAATTAACATTCCTTCAACATTGTCTTAACGACTATAAGTATTTCATACAATAGGCAATTCTTTGGTTGTGAAGTATAAAATTTTCACTTCAGATTTCTGATGGTTTCACACCATACTATAGATTTATAACACAGGGAGTTTATTATTTAACATACAGTCTTCTTTAGCCACTATCCAGTAATATGTATCGTAATATACTATTAATGCAAAAAGGAAAACTGATTTATGAAATAGCTTCATATACAGCAATACTTTGTTTCATGGTTTGCCAAAGCTCAAGCCCCTGCAACCTTTTCTAGATTCTAAAGTTGTTAATGAAATGGTAAAATATTCCTAATTTAATCTCAAAGCAACTTTCTTAAACAAAGAATTTGTGATCTAGCTGATAAATGTTTACTTGTAGATCAATTACTTAAATTAGCGCTTAAATTATTATCATATTGGACCTGAAAGCTAGTATATCTTAGATTTGTTAATGACATTACATGAAATGGAATGGCTGATAATCAGTTCATCAAACAGGTTATAAGACTTAAAATTTATGTCACTGGTCTTCTTGTTGCAAATGACAGTGCAGAACATATCTTGATCAGGACTTCATCGAAACTTTCAGAAATAAATAAAGACGGTTCATTAAAATTTTCAGAAATGAAGAAGAAAATTTAATGTTTGTTACTGATCATAGTTTCAAACAACAAGTAAAAAACTTGGATGAAAACCAAAAGGAAATCTTTCTTTAAACATAAAAAAAAAAACTAAAAAAAACAATGTTAAATATAAAGATATAAATGTTTTATATTTAAAATAGATAGCAAATAATTTTTAAAAGCAAACGCCCCAACTTCCTGAATATATATAACATATAATTGCCAATGTAATTGGCAACAATATAATTGCCAATATAACATATAATTGCCAATGCGTTGGACTTGCCACACCCATCATTTTTATTTTTAAATTGGATAGATCAAGCTACAAAAATAACTCTCATATTATTTTTGAAATATTTGCAAGTATCCCCTCGATATGTGCAAAAACTTGAATACTTTGTATTTTTAGATTTCTGGGACCAACCATAGGAGTACACATAAAATAAAAATTGTATATTTTTTGAATATCAAAAGAAACCACAAAAATTATTATTGAATTTTTTTTTGACTTTAGTGTTTTATGCAGCACCCTATTAAATATAACAACAACTTACAACACGGCTTACCTTTAGAATATCAAATGATTTTCCTTTTTTAATTTCTTGACGTAAATGATGAGCAATATTGAAAATGGCACCTAACTAAGAATAAACACCAAAGTAATTAAATAAAAACATTTTAATTCAATGAGGTTAAATAACACAACATAACATTTTAAAAAACATTTTAACATTTTTTATTTCTACATTCATTCAGATTCTTCAAAGTTTTAGTAAAAAAAAAAGTTGAAAATAAAAAAAAGCTAAAATTTCAATAAAAAAACATCAAGGTATTAATAATGTATTGTAATAAGGAATGAAGTCTTATAATAATATGCTTCAATGAATAAACAAAAAAGCTAACATCAGGTTATGTATCATTTCGTTTTGTAACAGAAAAAAAAACTTTTTTTTTCGTTATAAAACAAAACAATTCAAAAGTATGTTTCATGAAGGTGAAAGTATCATTTCCACATGGCATTTTAATTTTCAAAATTAAAGTTTCAAAAAGTTTTATTAGATATAAGTCTTAGATATTTAAAGTTATTTTTATTTTATTAGATAAATAAGTAAAAAAATTAATATTTTCTATTCTTTTATAAAATATTTTTTGTTTCTTTTAAACTCAAATTAATCTTTAAATGTGAAATGATTATTGATTATGATTAATAATATTACTATAACTAGAATGTTTATCCTATAACTACACTTAACAACAATTTTTTACCTTTTATAAAAATTATAAAAGCCTATATCTTTTTTATACTAATTCTACTGTGCTGATTTCAAATCTGAAGTCAGTTTATCACTCATAAATTGTGATTTTCTTTTGAAAAAGGCACTTCAAAGACACTGTAATGTTCACATCAACTGATTCACCTAACTGCTTGGTTTACAAATTGCTTTGTTTATCTTCTATCAGATAGTATAAAAAATCACTGGTAATTTTATTCTGCTATTTCATTGTTCTTGATAGCGCATTACTATGGCTTTTTAGGGCTGCATAAATCATCCTGATAGCTTTTGTTATAAATATAGAAACCTTTGTTATACAAAGTCAAAAAGCTCTACAAATTTTGATTAATTTCTCTGGGGTACTAAAAATATGACAATATGGGTAGTGTAAATGATGAGTATGGATATTGGTTCCACCAAACATTGCTTTAATGGAGAAACACTACAAATGAAAATCGTCACATTCAATACTAACAAACTTTTGCTGGATGTTGCAACATTGTCATACAAACAAAAATCTTACACCAAACACTTTTAGTGCTGATAGAGACTGTTGTAAGAACTGTATTGCTTATTATAGTTTATTGAATACTGTAAATAATTAATTATTATAGTTTATTGAATACTGTGAAATTTCCTAGTATAGTAGAAAAATATTTAAAAAATTCAAGATTTAGAAAAAAAAAAAGTATCCATAAAATCTCAAAAATTCAAAAACAAATACTATTTTTTTCTAAAAAGTGGTGGGCGATAGAAATAAATGGATGTCAAATTTAAAATCAGCACATTCGAATTAGTATTAAATAGATATTTGCTTCAATGAATTTTTTTTTGGTATTGTACAGTGTTATATTAAAAATAAATAAAAAATTTAAAGAAACTCAGAATAAAAGCACCAACATAAATAGCATAAGCAAAAAAACAAAAAATTACTTGATTTTTTGTAAACGATTGAACTGTAATAATATGTTTCCCAAGCAATGCACTAGTTTGTAAAGACATAGGAATTGAAGCACAAATTTTAGATTGAATCTTATATAGATCATCAGATTCAAAAACCTCTAGAAAAAAAAAAAAAAAAATTAAATGGTAAAGTAAATGTTTAAAAAGTAATAATTATTTTTACTAAAAACTTTTTTTAAAGATTTCACATGAGTTAACTTTTCGCAGACAAAAACTAAAGTCATCATTAGTTCTATGATTACAAGGTATCTTATAAGAAGGTAAAAAGTCTTAGAATAACCTGTCAACAATACAATTTAAACAAAAATCTTGAAAACTTATGTTTTGCTTCTAACTAATAAAAAAATTTAGATGTTAACACAGATTATTTTCATTTTAGATTTTATATTCTTTAATTTCTGTGTTTAACTCAGTGATAAAAAGTCCCAAACAACTTATTTGCTTCTGGTCACTAGTGTCGTGATGTTCACAAATATTGTAAAGTTCATATTGGCAAAACAAACAGGGGATTTTTTTAATTTAAAATTTAACCAATATGACTTTGTAATGTGTCAATGGTCATGTAAAAATTGTACATAAGCATTTTGTTTTATAAATGCATAACACAATTACAAATGATTTAGATTCAATCTATCTTTTGATAACTACACCAATCTGACTTATAAAACGTGTCAATGAACATGTAAAAAATACTACAGATGCTTTTTATTACATAAATACATAAACAAAATTGTAAGCATGAATTTTAATAGCATTATAAATCCAAGTAGTACCCCCCTACCTCAATCTTTTTAATTAAATTATTAAACTTTGCTGGCAGTATACAATTTTTTATAAACAACATTAAACTTTTGTGTGCTGTCAGCAAAGTTGTCAAACAAACACCCTAAAAAAATATGTTTTTGCTTTGTTACAAAACAAAATGTTATATTAAACCAATTTTAGAGACAATGTTTACCAAAAAAAATATTATGCCATGCAATATACATGCAATAAAATTTATATAACTTAATACACAGTCAAAGATTCATCAAAACATTACATTTCGCAGCTTCAATTTTTTTTACTTATTTGAAGATTGAATAAAGAGAAAAAGCTTTTTAACTTTTAGGGCTGTACCATCATCTGTTAACTAATGAAATAATTACTTTAAATAATTTATTTATTATTAGATTATAAATAGTTGTTCGATAAGCAAAAATGTGCGTTATACTTTTTAGAAATCAATTAAAATAATAGGCTTTTTTAAAACCTTCAAGTATTTTTTGTGGATTTGAAAAATCATCTTGTTCAATTGAACAGCAGCTTAATGAATTCTTCACTCTATGAACTTTATCAACCTCAGACTTTGAATGAACTACGTGTTCTGTTTGAATATCCTTAAAATCATCTGTAACTTCTTTATTTTTTTTTGATGCTATGTCTGCAGCTGGCACAAATTTTGAAGAATCCCATTTTCTGACATCTTCACCATAACCTGGTTGAGCTAACACCTATCAGAATAGAAAAAAAAGTAAAAATAAATAAAACTATTTAGCTATGAACTAGAACAATATGAAGTATCAATTACCTGATTTTCAATAACAGCTAGTTCTCCCCTTAATACAACACGAGAAACTTTCCCAACTACTTGCATTCCTGCAAATGGGGTCCACTTGGATTTAGTGCACGGCAAAGCATCAGGTAGTGTCCATTTTTCTGACATATCGACCTCAACATACGTGTCTAAAATTTTTTGTTATTTTTTTGCAGCATATAAAAATAAGTCAAATAATTTGTTTCAACAAATTGCTAATAAAATGTTTCATATTGTCATTTATACACACACATATATTTATAATAATATAAAAATAAATACCTGGCTGTTCAGGCAGTCCAAATATTTTTCTTGGATTTGTGTACAAGCGTAAAATTATATCATCAATAGTTAAACGACCATTATTAACAGCAGTAAGAAGTAAAGGCAACATGGTTTCCAAACCAGGAAATCCATAAACACCTTGTTTTTTCTCTTCAATAGAGTGAGGAGCTAAGAAAAATTCATTTGAAATTGTTAGAAATAAAATATTTAAACCCATATTTCTATAATTAACTAATATATAACGAAATTGTATTTAAAAAAATATTAATAAAAAAATATACCATGATCAGTTGCAAAACAATCAATAATATCCATATTTTTCCATAGAGCTTCTTGATCTTCAAGTGTATTAAGGGGTGGTTTCACTTTTGCTTGCTGTATACCAATTCTTGAAATATCTTTGTCTGTTAAGAACAAATGATGAGGGCAAACTTCACATGTTACTTGAAGACCTCGATTTTTGGCAGCTTTGATAATGAGAATCTAAAAATAAAAATAAAAAAATAAACAATATATATATATATATATAACTTTTGATAAATATTGATAATTTTAAATTAAGTGAACACATTAAATTAGTTTTGTTACTATCAATTAAAAAAAACCAAAATTTAAACAAATTTAACATCACAATATTTATTATATTTATTCAAATGGTTACTAAAGAGTAGTTTGTATATCACCAAGATAACTGGTCATTTTAATCTGATATAGTATTTACTTTGATTGTTATTTGTTTTAATTCTTCATATCAATATTGTTAAGCGTAAACCTCAAATTTGATCATTTATAATAAAAAAAAACAGCAAAAATTTAAACACATCAATTTTTATAATGTGAATTGAACAAGCATAATAAATTTTAATGTATGATGATTTTAATGTCTTAACTTTAGGCTCTAATTTATTGTACGAAGAATCATATATTAAATAACAATCATTATTATAACTATCATATATATATATATATATATATCAATAAAACCTGAATAGAATTTCTTATGTTAAAATGTGTTAATAGAAAATTAGAGTGTAGTTTTTAAATTTTAGATTTGCTTGTGAAATTTTTTTTCAAAAAGAAATATATTTGAACAAAGGAATTTTAGTCTTGTAAAATTCTCTTATTCAAATAATTTTGCTATTGAAAATTGAAAAAAAAAAAAAAAAAATTAAAAAGAAATTTAACACTCAATAATTATAAATATTATTGCAGCTACGTTTATAATAACTAGTGGCATAGCATTCAGCATTCCTGAAAATTAAGGAGAAAAAAAAAATATATATATATTTTACTTCTGTTCAAAGAAATATTTTTCAAAAAAAAATAATTTAAGCATATACTTGAAGAAATATGATTCGATTTATTAAACCAAAAAAATTGAAAAAATTGAATAAAAACGTCAACTTAAAAATCATTCGAATGAAAAAATTAATTATTTTTAATAGTATGCTAGATCAAAAAGCAATAAATTAGAAAAGCGTGTAATGTTATTTTTGGTTTTATCTAACTCATTTGTCTATAGACGAATTTTGTGCTAATATGTTTTTGCATGTTTTTGCGCTAATATGAAGTATAAAGTTTTATGACAACATAAATATTTTAATTTATTAATAAGAACAATTCTATTTATTTACTTTGTTTTAATTTAAACGCATTGTTTACAAACATGGTCACAAAGTTGTATTAGTTTAACACAACTTGTGTTAATCAAAAACAATATAAAGAGATTGTGACACAAGCTCTTATATGTGACACAAGCTTATATATATAACACCATCAAAACATCAGCTATTTTTTAGCTGTTTTACAATAATAATTCAACAAGCAAAATAATTTTTATTGTCAACATGAATGTATTAAATAGTTTTCTATAACTATTTAAAGTGGTGTAAATATTGTAATATTTGTAATTTTACAAATACTTTTTTACTTTTTTTTTTCAAGTATAATGTTAAGTAAAAACAACTACTAAAAGTAATATCGTAATAGTAATAAATGCATTGCTCGCTCATTACATTATAACTTGCTCAATCCACTATAACTGCAACATATACTTTAATTTATAACTTAAGCTGTAAACTATAACAGTGATATGCTATTTCAAATTAAAAAAAAAAAAATTTTTTTTTGCAATAAGATTTTTTTTGCGTTAAAAATACCTTCAAGCATTTTTTGTGGATTTGAAAAATCATCTGGTTTAATTGAACAGCAGCTTAAAGAATTCTTCACTCAAACAATATTAAGTTGGCTATTTTTAGGTCTTTAACATCATTCATTTTTAAAAAAATTTTTAGCCAAAAAAGGTACTTATAGAGGTAGTGCAACTTTGAAGCATTTAGGTGTGGCTGTTTCATGCCCTATATATATACTCAAATCTTAGAAACTTCTCAAAGCTCTTAGACCTTGCTAGAAAAACAATTTATTTCTTTTTCAAATAAACCTATTGTATATATAACAATTATTTATACATTTAAAAAAAATTTTTGAAACTAGAATCACCTCATCTTTCCTTGAAATATGAGCAATATGAACAGATCTATTAAACAACTCTGCCATTAAAATTGCAGCTGCCATGGTTTGACCTTCAGCATGACAAACAATCGGAAAGTGCTTTGGCCAATGCTCAAAGTGAGACATCCAATCAGACAAAGAATGTAGCTGAAGTGTTGTATATGTCTCATTTAAGTACATTTTTAATGCTACACACGAGGCTGCTGATTTGTTGATGTGAATTGCATTGTCGGAAGTAGCACCAGCATACAAAGCATAATCACAACGAGCTCCTTTAGCAGCGCACTAAACAATTAATCAAATGAAAACAAGCAATCAAATGATTAGAAATCAAATTAGTTGAATAATTACATATTACTATCTTACCATTTGAGCATGAGCAAGGGATGCAGCATTAATGATAGGTGGCTTTGTATTTGGCATACAGAGAACCATAGTTACTCCACCACATAATGCCGCTGAAGTTCCAGATGAAAAATCTTCTTTATACTCATCTCCAGGCTCACGCATATGTACATGCACATCAATTAAACCAGGCAGTCGAACAATGCTACCAGCACTTAAACAGTCAACACTTGTCTTTAAATTTATGTTACCAATAGAAGTTTTGTATAATGCCTAAAAACACAGAAATGAAAAAAATTTAAAAAAGATAAAAACAAATCATAAAAATTTAGAGAAAACTGAAGTTCAAAATTTCTTTTTTAAAACAAACTATTACCTCACAAAATAACTTTGCACATTTTATATTGGTAATCAGTGGTACAGCATGATCTATTGCTAATCTTCGAGTTCGGTAACCATGAGTAACAAAATATGGTTTTCTTCTTGATCCCGTCTGTCTCATTGGTATATTAATAACTAAATCAAATTTATTATTTACCAAAAATTCCTGGATACTTAGCTCTTGACCTTCACTCCCATTTTCTTCAAATGGCCAATCAATAATTTGAACCTAATGTTAAAAAAAAAATAATAAAAAATAGTAAATAATATCATAAAAAGTGATTTGCAAAAATTTGCCACCTAACATAAACCTGTGTCAAATAAAAATGCTTCCTAACAAAAATTACGAGTATGTGTGTGCGTGCGTGTGTGTATATATATATAGGGATGTGTAAATATGAATCTAAAAGAATGATCTTTTGTTGTCATAATTATAGTATAAAATTAAAAGTGCTCAAAAGATATGCTAGAGCTATTTATAAAAATAAATTACTGTTACCAATAGTATCGTGAATTAGCATAATAATAATATTTATGATAATATTTATAATAATATTTATAACAATATTGATAATAAAATATAGTTTTACAACTCATGGTTTTATGCGTTTCAACAATCATCAGGCAAGTAGCAGAAATATTAATTTTGCTACACATTTTTACTTAAGAAAGAACAATTTTTTACTTTAGATAATTAAAATTTAATTAGTTAATTAAAAAATTGAAATTTACATTAAAAAAATTAAAATTTACATTTACATTGAAATTTATCGAAAATTTATAAATGAGATAAAATAAGAATATTGCATTTATAATTAAATAAATAATTTTTATATTTGTAGATAAAAAAAAATCTATTAGTGAATGTTATTAATTAATTAGATTTGTAACTAGCTATGTAATTTTTTAGTAAATACTTGTTTTCGTGATGACTTTTTGATATATACTCAGAATTAGTAGTTCAGTTTATTTAGTGGTTCTTCCAGTTTCAAGTAAGTAATTATGGCAAGTTTTTTGTTTTGACAAAGGTGGCACTTTTTAGAAATGTTTGAATATGGGGGTTCAAATTTTAAAATAGAGCAGGCGAAAGTGGGCATTTCATTACTTTTACTTATAAATTTAAAAACATAGGTGGATAGAGAAATTTTTTTTGGCATGCTTTATTATTGAAGTAAGATTTGTGGTTGCTGTAATTTGCATTCCACTTGCCTTCTGTTAATCTTATGTAGATTTTTTTAGGCTGATTTTTAGCAGTGACAACACTTTTATATGACATTAATCTACATTTTCCATTTATGAGACATTCAATCTTATTTCTGCAGCTGCATTTTTGTTGCTTACCTTCAACCTTTGGAAGAAGGACTTTGTTGTTGTGGTTTTTATTGATTTTTCAAATATTTTTGGTATGGCTGTAGCTGACTTGCTGCGTTTTGATAGAAGATTTTGTATAACTTATGAGTTTTAGGGAAGTTTCACTAAAAGCTCACATTCAAGGAATTGAAAACAAAATATTGCATGGTTTCATTCTCTATTTATTAAAAACATTTCAACAAATGCAGCAAAATGTTTTTTAAAACTTCTTGATAAAAACTTCCCAATACCCATAAGCTAAACCAAACCCATTTGCAACTATTGGCTTTCTTTATATTTATTCATTTTTTAATAACGCATTCATTTGTATATCAAAAATAATGGAGTCTTATTTAAGTTTGATTTTTCTAACTTATTCTTTAAATAAGATAGCTTCTAATTATTTATAGATCTTAACTCTTAGCCAAAATTCTTACTTTTTTTATAACTATCTACCTCAGCTTGAAGCTGAGGTAAATAGTACTGTAAATTACCAAATGGTGCAATATATATATTATATATTATATATATATATATATATATATATATATATATATATATATATATATATATATATATACATATATATACATATATATATATACATATATATATACATATACATATATATATATATATATATATATATATATATATATATATATATATATATATATATATATATATATATATATATATATATATATATATATATATATATATATATATATATATATATATATAATACAGGGGCTATTCTAGACCTTTTTAACATTAACTTTTTTTAAAACAGCAAATTTTATTTTTTCAATAAAATGGGATTATTTCAGAAATATATATATATATATATATATATATATATATATATATATATATATATATATATATATATATATATATATATATATATATATATATGAAGAGTGTATTTTCAAAATGCGGTATATCCATTTTTGTGGTATTGAGATAATTGACTTTTTTCGCCACACCAACATGTCTCGTATATTTGGAAAAATTATTGTTTCTTAATGTATATATACATAAAGTATATTATATAATGTTAATAAATAAAATATTATTAAATAATTTTTTTTTTTGTCAATAAGTTTGCATTTATTTTCAAAATACTGTATATCCAATTAAAGCTTGTTAGCAAAATGCGGTATATCCATTTTATAAAGATGTTATGGAAAGTTTTTAAACTTTAAAAGTCCTGAATAAGTTTTAATGATTAATTTTAGTTATCATATTGAACAAATATGTGTATTTAATGTTTGGTCATTATATTTTATTGATAATGTGAATGTAAACAATGTTTTATAAAAGTAATGTAAACTATTACATTTCACAATTCGCAATTGTAAATTTATATTTGTTTCGGAGAGTTAAATATGGACAATAAACAATAATATTTTTTTAGTGTTGTGTAGTTGTAACAATGATGATCACTATTTTTAAGTCTCCATAGAACTAATGGACAATTAATATAACATAAAAGTCATCGTTATATTTTTGAACGAAATAAAATTTTAAAAATGAAAGACTGCAATAGCCTCATTTTATTTGCAACAAAGCAATTGTCGGTTTAACAAAAAATAAAAAGGAAGTACTATTATTGAATGCTTTCCATTAAAAAACAGGTAACAAATATATTTAAACTTATTAATTTAAGTTGCCTTTTTAATATATTTTCTATCATTATTCCATAATTCGTTCAGTTAAACAAACAAAGCATGGTAGTTTAAACTAAAAAGAAATGCTTTTCTTTTCTTTTGTTTCATACATCATATCTTTTTTTCTATAAGAAATAGGATATTAGGTAACGCATTAATCTTGTCCATCGCAATCCGCCATTTCTTTAACGCAACTTAAAAATATTTGCGCTTGCGCAGAAGTAATATACATTGGTAAGTAATATACACGGATTGGTCAAAATTAAATACCGCATTTTGAAAATAAATAAAAAATTTTATACCGCGTTTTGAAAATAAATGTTTTTTAGAAGTAAAAGCATATATTTGGACACAATGTCTGCTAGGTCCTTATAAACTAAAAATAAACCACACAATTTCTAAAAAATTTTTAAAATGGCGTTTACCGCGTTTTGAAAATAAACTCTTCATATATATATATATATATATATATATATATATATATATATATATATATATATATATATATATATATATATATATATATATATATATATATACACATACATATATATATAAAATATATATAAGTAATAACTCTGCATCTTTATTGTTTATTTAACTTTTTTTATTGCAATTAAAAATAATATTTACCTTAATACCATGCTCTTGATAAAAGTCACCAGTCCCCATACTTGCGTATAAAATAAATCCCATTTTTTCTAATAACTGAACACTTTCCAACATCTCAGTTTTTGCCTAAAAATGCCAGAACAGTTTTGTTCCTACTATTTTCAGATTTGCCAAAATATAAAAAAAAAAATCAAAATCTTAAACATAATCAATAATAAAAACTGTTTCAAACCTTGTACGCTCCCACAGTAAGTAATATATTTTTTTTTGGAATAGTGAACCCAGTGCTTATTAATGCTTTAATGAAAGCTTCAAATTTATTTTCTCCAAAACAAGCAACCTCCCCAGTGCTAGCCATCTCAACCCCAAGTTGAAAATCAGCTCCAGCCAACCGAGAAAATGAAAACTGTGGAACCTAATAAAAAAAGATAAAAAAATTGTAGAAAAGGAGAATTATTAATCATCCATCCACTTACATTACTTAAGTTAGATTTGTTTATAATTATTATTTTAAAATTTTTTTATTTTGAAATAAATAATAAAAAGGACATAAAATTAAAGTTTTTTAATGTTGCAAACAAAGGTTAAAATGTTTTAAAGATTTCCAACAATTATTATGTTCACTTTGGCTAAAAGCTTTGTGTCTTCTTTGGCTAAAAACAATTAACATGTTACATAAACACATAATGTATACAGATTTGTAATTTTATAAAAATACAGATTTGGTTTTAAAGATTCTTAATGAAAAATTTATTCTTTAATTAACATGCTGTAACAAATCTCAACGCCTATTTAATATATTGAACATTGCATATATCATCATAATCACTTTAGTAAATACAACCAACTCACTTGTCTAACAAACATTTTGTTTGAGATAAGTCATATTGTATAAGACAAAACATTTTTATGATAAAATATTTTGTTATGATTACAAAATTGCCACAGAAAAGCTTTGCATATAGTATTGTAATTTTATAAAAATGCGGATTTGATTTTAAAGATTGTTAATGAAATATTCATTGTTTGATTAACATGCTGTAAAAAGTCTCTTAACACCTATTTAATATATTGAACATATATCATCATCATCACTTTTATTTTTGTGTTTGGGTCAAACATTTTTTATAATCTTGTTTCTACAAGCTAAACACAAGCTTAAGCAACTTCTTTTCTGAAGCTTTTCATTCATGTGTGACACACTCTCTCTGAGTTTACCTACCCAAAAGTCTTACTGCTGAGACTGCTAACTCTCTACATGCTGATCTTAATCTTCCTTAACACAGCCATTAGATACACCCATCAACACACACCCACAGATACATTCATTATTTAAGATCTGTCTTAAGTTATTGCTTTTTTTGTTATCTTTTAGAGTCACACGTCCATCTAATTATTTTTTCTGTTCTTTCGAAATACTGGACATAATTAATCTCTAAAGCCTCAATGCCATACATCATAAAACTCTGGACGCATGTAGTGCGTACAACTTTCCTTAGATCTTCAATAATTTATTTCTTGCTGATAAAAACAGAGAATATTTTAAACCTGGATCATCTTATGCTTTTGATGCCTTTTCTGATCCACCAGCTGATCTAAATGTATTTCTGAGATAACAAAACTTACCAAAAAACTCTATCTTTTGACCATTATTCAATCTCTTACTTGACTTTCTCTAAAAGTAGATTTTTTCCCCTCAAAACCACCAATATTAGGAGCACATTATATACCATATATCTCTTGTGAACCCATTGCTTACAAATTGCACAAAAAATAATGTTTGCTTTATCTCCTGCATACTTTACTGTAACTTTATTTTCTACATTTCTTTTGTAATTTTACAAATATGTACATTTCACCACCTAGTTTCTATATATCTCTAAGGACCTTTTAATCCTTCACATACTTCATCAGATCTAAAAAGCTTTCCTTTTTGTTTTTCCAAATGCTTTCCATTTTTCTTTTCAACCTGTTTTCTACACCTTTCAATTTCCAAATTTTGCATTAACTCACAAAGACCTTCTTTTTTCTTCCTTCTTTCTATTAGTGTATTTTGCTAAAATTAAAGGGATCCCCAAGTGCCGAGACAAGTTGTGTTCATATGAAAGAATATGCTTTAAAAAAATTAAATAATAAATGCTTATTAACAAAATTAAAATTGTTGTTTGAGTCAAAGCTTGCTGTTTCCATTTTTTCTTGTTTCTCAAAGTCTGTTTAATGTTAGCTGCAATCTGCAGGCTTTAAAATTTAATTCATAACAGTTTCAATATATGATGTCATCATAAATTTTTTTTCAAGATAATGTATTTTAATATTTTTTTTAAGATATAGGAATTTTATTAACTACAATCAGCAACATTTGTATAATTTTTTACTAAATCCGAAAAAATATTTGTAAGGCAATTAAAAATAAAGTAACATATTTCATTTTTAGATTTTATTAGCGCAACTTGTTTTTAACAATCCTCAGGATGATTTTTAAATTACCTTTTATAAAACTTAGATTATATTAAAGATTATATATAAAAAGTATTACAGAATGTTATATAATAAGTATTACAGAATGTTATATAAAAAGTATAACAGAATATTTCCTTTTTATAAAATATTATATTCAAGTTTACTTCCTCCTGTTTTCTGTGGAGCAAAATAAAATTAAGATAAAATGTTAAATAAGATTTTTATGGTGAACTCCTACATAAAAGTCATCATTATGTCTTCTGGATCTTTTTTATTATTATCTTTTTAGGAAATGAAATTTTTTTCCCTATATTTATGTATGACACAACTATAAATAATTTGTGGTTATTAGAGTTCACAACCAGAGCAAAACCGTATAAAATTAAAGTAACTAAAAAAATAATGAATAGCGTCACTAAACTGCACAAGCTAAATAAAAAAATAAATCAGTATAATGCAGTTTCTTGTTTTATATTCAGTTTATATGGTTTAATAGAGTTGTTCGTTTTATGGTTAGTTTACATTTTATACATTTTATGTTTAGTTCACTTGGTTTATAGGTTTTAATTTATTATTTTATGTTTATACTATAACTAACTTTTGTATATTTTAGTACAAATATATTTGGTTTAACTTTAATTAAGTTCGATTTATATGGTTATTAGTAAAATAATTTAATTTATATTTAGTTTCTACTTAGTTCAACTTATAAGGTTTATTCAAATCATTTGTTTTATATTCAGTTTATATTTTAAATTAATTTATATGTTTTAGTCAAATTATTCTTTTAGTATTTAGTTTATATTTGGTTTAAACCAGCACGGTTTATTGCAAATATTTGTTATATATTTAAATTTATATTTTATTTAGCTTGTGCAGTTTAGTGACGCTATTCATTATTTTTTTAGTTATTTTAATTTTATACAGTTTATTGAGACTATTCGTTCTAGATTTTGATTATATTTAAATTATAAAAATAAAGACGGCAAGCTTCGACTAAAAACAAAAATTTTAATTTTATTAGTATGCATTTATTATTTAGTTTTACTCAGAAAAATTTAGTCCAAACATTGCTTTTCAACATTTTCTTTAATATGAACACAACCTGATCCTTTTAAAACTCAAAAATGGCTTGCGCTAAAACATGTGATAAAAACTTCATCTTATATTATTGTGTAACTCACCTATTTTTTTGTTTGTTTGTTGAAATTACATTTTTTAAAACATTATCAGAAACAAAGCAAACAATTTTTATTTTATTTTCTTTTTATTTTCGTCCTATTTAAAACTATGTTAAGCAATAACCTTCTAACAATTTTGATATCATCACTCTCATTCATTTATCTCAGCAACACAACACAAAATTTTTTTGCCAATAATAAAATAATAAATGCTATTTGTTGCTCTAAACTTTCAAACCAAAAAGTAAAAAAAAAAAATCAAAAAAATTTTTACCTAGTAAATGTCATTTACTAGGTAAAAGCAACTTTTACACTGTTGTAGATTTTCATAAACAAAACTTCATTTTATATGTCAAATCATTTTTACAACTATAGGTCAATCAGAAAGACTATCTTTTTGTTGTTGTAAATAACATACTTAATCATAAAAAACGAGTCTTGTAAGTTTATTTCACACAAGTCATTTCTTTAGCATAAGAAATTGAAACTCTTTCAAAAAATTTAATTAGGTGCTCTAGTAAATTCTCATTTCCAAATCATTCTAGATGTTGAAAACTTGTTTATAAAAATGTTTATTGTTTAACTTATTTAAGTAAAATAAATCAATTAATTAATTAAATAGTTTAACTTATTTAAGTAAATTTAAAGTTAGTAAAGTAAATGAGTAGCTAAATTTAAATAAAAATTAGAAAAAAACAGAGCAATATTTGTTTGTGTAATTATGCTTATACTGTACTAATAGAAACAATTCTTCCTTTTACAACAATATAAAATAAATTTTCTTATTATTATGCAGCATTTAAAATCATAATTTTGACAAAATGGTAACTAAAATCTTCTGATCAACCCGTGTTTCCAGATTATGTATTTAAATGACTGTGTTTTCACCATACAGAGAAAATGTCTCTTGTACTACAATTGTTGATAAGAAACACAAAGAAAAGTTGTAAAGTTGGAGCCTGTAAGAGCACAAGATAATTGGGGTAAAAGTAACAACACCCATTTTTGCTATGTCTAATAACATCTGTCCAACAACATCTGAAATTTCATCTATGTATAATAACATCCGTGCAACAACATCCGAAATTTAATTGATGTATAATAACATCCATGCAACTACATCTGTAGATTTTTTAGATGTAACTACATCCAAAAAAAAAAATAATAATTTATTAATTATGCATTATTTCAACTAGATGTAGTTACACATCTGATTTTTTTCGGATGTAACATCTGCCAAATAAAAAAATATAATGCATTATTTTAAGTATAATAATAATTTTTTTTAAAATTATCTGATAGACTGCCTGCCCAAACCAAACCCTTAGTCGATGTAGTAGCACTCCGTTTCAAGTCAGGCTATTTTTCAGTTGATGTAGCAGCACTTATATAAGATATAATCATATATATAATAACATATATATAATTATAATTATATATGTAACTACATCCGGAATTTTTTTTTTTTAATAATGCATTATTTTAACCAGATTTTAACCAGTTGTAAACTGTAAAATGTTCAGCTTATAATCAAGACGCTCAAATCTACTTTACGCCTCTGAAAGTACTGCACTTAATCTGTTTCTCTGCACAGCAGCTTTTTTTAATCTTGTTTGTTTGGGTTTTGAAACTTAGGGTTGAGAGAGAGTTTCAAATAAAATAAAATAAAAAAAAGTAATCAACTGTAGTGACTTACTCTGTAGCTTTGGGGAGGTGATTTTAGTAATAAATTAATAAAAAAGGCTCTAGATGTGATTTATAATTTTACTTGTTACAATACACTATTTCTTTGTGAGTACAGTGATATTAAATATGCCTGTAATTGTGGAAAATCGCCACATCAGAACTAGAAGTGGCTTTAATGCCAACCATATATTTGACTTTTCAGAGGGGCCCACTACAGTCAAGTAAACAACTGTTGCTTTTTGTAATTTGATTGCATCTCTCTTTCAAACCTAAACACCAAAACAGAATCATAGTTAAACAAAAAGCCACTGTGTGGAGAAACATTTGTTTGCGAGAGAAATTTCCTAATATTTACATAGCTTTTTATTTTAGTTGTGTTCTTCCAGTAACACAGAATGTAAGATAACAAGTAGCGCAATTTCATGCATTATTACACAAAAACAGCAGAAAAAAAAAGGAACAACTTTTGAAGTAGGCTTAAATGCATATCTACTAGGAGTTTGATTAGACCTTTAAATACCAATTAAAACAAACTCCTTCATTTAACTCTCTGCTCACAATTAATAAAACTAGATTCTTTTAAAAAAAGTACTTAATGATTTGACCTTTAAATATTATTGATGTGGTCAACCTAACCATGTTAAAAGTAGTTAAACAAAATATGTTTAAAAACATTAGAGATCTGAGTTTTAAATATCAATCATGCGGTCACTATTATCTTTAGCAACTTAATTTGTTCGTTGGAAAGCAAAACAAATAACAAACTGCACAAACAATAAAACACTTTTAAAAAAAAATCTACTTACAATATTAAAATACAAACTTTTCGAGTAAGTTTTTGTTTTATTGCTTTGGACATCAATTTAGATTTAGATTTAAACTTTTTATATTCAAATATTATAAAATTTAGAAAAAATGTTTGCATCAAAATAATCCTAGTTTGTGTATTGGTTGTCATAAGTTAATACCTTTTGTTTATGTATTAAACCACAAAGTAGTTTAGCCCTTAATAAATAATACTTAATTTACCAGATTTTGAAAAATAAACAAAATTTTGGGTCCCTTGAAGCACCACAAAATTATTTTTAACTAAAATATTTCAAAGATGATTTTTACAACTTTCTCAACCTTGTTAACTCAATAATTATTGCTGCCACTATAACAAATACAAAAAATATATAAATAGAAAAAATAATTAAAATAACATACTTTACATCCAACTTTTTTACATTTTCCCATTATATTAAGAGCAGGTTCAACAGATGCTCCAATAATAACTCGAGTTGCTAAGGCAACCAAGTCATAATCAAGAGTTTTTGCTACAAATGGAAAAGATCTCGAAACTCGTAAATTGCACTCAATAACTTTTAGTTCATTATCCTTGAAATAAAATAAATATTTAAAAGTTAGTTTCTAATATTTAAAAAATCAACAAGTAATAATGATAATAAATAACAACAATAATAGCAATAAGAAATAAACAATAAGATATACATTAACATAACATGATAACATACTTTTGCAATAAGCTGCATGTTAAACGGTCCAGAAACATTCAGAGCATTTCCAACAGCAAAACAAATTTCTTTAATCTTTGTTAAAGTTTCATCATTGAGACTTTGAGGGGGACAAATGAGAGTTGCATCACCTGAATGAACACCAGCATTTTCAACGTGTTCACTGATTGCTACAGCAATGACTTTACCATCAACTGCAACAGCATCAACATCAATCTCCTATAAATTTTTAATTTTTTTTAAAAAAGAACTTAATTAAACAACCATGTAACAAATATATTATATAAAAACTTCTGATCAACAAAAGATTTGAATAAAACTTTTTTTTTTTGTTTTAAATTAATTTGTAATAAAACTTTGAATACATTTTTTGATTTTCTTTTATGTATGTTTATTTCTATGACTATTATTAAAAATATTTGCATTAGATTAAGCAAAAATGCTAAAAAATAACCTTTGCATCTAAAATAAATTTAGAAATGACAACAGGATGTTCTTTTGAAATTGAAACAGCAGATCCAAGGTATGCCTCTAAGTCATTTTCTGCATAAACAACATTCATAGCAGCTCCACTTAAAACATACGATGGTCGTATTAAAACAGGATAACCAACTCGAGTGCAAAACAGGTGAGCATCCTTTAAAAATTCATCATTTATATATATATATATATATATATATATATATATATATATATATATATATATATATATATATATATATATATATATATATATATATATATATATATATATATAAACACACACACACACAAACACACACACACACACAAACACACACACACACACTGTCCTCCAAAATATTAGCAACCAAATAATAATTTCTACTTTGATTACTTATTACAGCAATTTTGTTTTTTTTTAATTAGGCTTTAAATAAAAAAAATGGTTAATGTTACATATAATAAGAGTATTTGAAAATAATTAAATGTGACTTTTTTTTTGTATTGGTATTTTAACGCAAAAACATGGTCCTCCAAAACATTAGCAGCTTTTTTAAAACTACCCTAAAAAAAGTTAATACCAATAGTTAATGGCATATCCTTTACTTTTTAGGATCAAGGAACATCTTCTCGGTTCGTACCATAAATTTTCAATTCGGTTGAGATCAGGTGATTGAGCTGGTCATTTAATTACTTTAATTTGATTTGTTTTAAACCATTCTTTAACAAGTTTAGAGGTGTGTTTGGGGTCATTATTATTATTATATAAATGTTAGATACTATTATGTTATTGAAATGTCCATAAAAAAAGGTGTGTTATTATTAGTATGAGGAACCACTTTTTCCTTGGAAATATCACGATAAACATACTTATCCTTAAGCCATTTATTTGGAGATAGGTCCAATTCTAATAAAACCAAAAAAACAACCCCAAAATATTGCACTTTTTCCACCACCATGCTTGATTACTCCTCTTGTGTATTTAGGATCTAATTGTCTACCTAAAGGTATACATACCTTTAAATTTCCATCAGGACCTTTCAAATTGTACTTTGATTCATCGCTCCAGAGTACTTCCAATCATTTTTAGTCCAGTCTCTATGAGAATTTGCAAACTTAATTCTAGCTTTTCTATTGTTCTGAGAAATGAAAGGTTTTTTTGATGCACTTGTGCTGCTGATTTTCCATGAGTTTTTGTATGTAATTATAAAAAGTTACTAATGTTTTGGAGGACCACGTTTTTGCGTTAAAATACCAATAATAAAAAAAACAAACAAGTTTATTCATTTTCAAGTAGTCTTATTATGTACTAATCTTTTTTCTTATATGTAATATTAAGCATTTTTTGTATTCAAAGCGTAACTAAAAAAATAAAATTGCTGTAATTAGTATTCAAAGTAGAAAAAAAGCATTTTTTTTATTTGGTTGCTAATGTTTTGGAGGACAGTGTGTGTGTGTATATATATATATATATATATATATATATATATACATATATATATATATATATATATATATATATATATATATATATATATATATATATATATATATATAAAATAAATTTTATACATTAATATTATGTATCTTTAATTACACTAAAAAGTTAACTATCAAACATATAACTTCAAAGTAAAGTACTATAAACAAATGGAAAAAGATTTAAAAATTGTCAAAATGCAAAATATCAAAATCAAAACTGGAAAAACTATCAAACAGTTAAAAATAAAACTAGCAATCATCAGAATATTTGAAACAGATGTTGAATACCTAATCTTTAGTGGACTATATATACTTACAGCAAATATATATATTTATTTAACGTGCTAGAGGTTTTTAGATCATACCCATCTAAATCCCTTTGAATGTGTAAAAGTTTTTGTTAATTGCTTGAAAATGTGAAAATAATATTTGTAAATCAAAGTAAATGTTTTGTATTAATCAGCATGATTGAACAATAGTCTGTCATATTGTAACTTAAATTAAAAACCAACACTCTACCTGGCAACATTTGTCATTTACATAAAGATGATCATATGTAAAGTTTCAGCTTCAAAGCTCATGTATAATAGAAATATTTGTGCAAGAATAGAAATAAAAAAAGTACTAAAAAATTGATAAAATTATCATTAAAAAATATTGAAAACTTAAATGTTATTAAAAAAAAAGATTTTGCTAAAAAATTAAAAATAATTGTTTTAAAGATACCCAATACTACCTAGCTAGGATGCATACGTTGGGCCAACGTCATAAGGGTTGGGCAATTTTTTTTAACTTCGCACTTATGTCAAACCAACGTCGGAATATTGATTTTAAAAATTTCCTTTAAAATAAGGGTTTACTTAAGTAGTTAGTAACAATTTAGTTATTTGTTTTTAGTTAATAATTACATCGCTTAAACCATTGTTTTCAAACATTTTCATGCGAAATAACTAAATTATTTGGTTAAATTTGTACAAAGTTTTTAGTAAGCTATTAATTATGATAGTTATACAAAGAAGTTGTGAAGGTATTAATTTTAAGCATAAACAGATTGAATTACACATTAGAAGAAGTCTTTAGAACTTTAGGTTAAATCACGAGAAATGCTAATAAAAGAATTAAAAAAGATTAGAGAACACAGGTAAACACAGTTATGAAATACTTTATTTGCATTTTTGTGCTTATTTGAAACTAGAAGTTACACTCTCATTATTTTTAGATTTTAAATAAGAATTTTATGAAATTCTTTTTCTAAGATTTTTATGTATCAAATTCTTTTTCTAAGATTTTTAAATCAAATTTTAACAACCAAAGAGTTCATATATAAAATGGAACCATAAGTAAAATAATTTTTTGTACAAAATACAACAAAATTGTATTTTTTAGGTGTTGACATAACTTATAAATAAATTTATCTATATTTTTTAGAGAGTATACTTTAACAAGAACTTAAGGGTGTTACAATTTATACTAGGGTCTGGGGCAAAATTGTGCAGTTGTCATATCCACTTATGGTGCAGCATTTATTGCAGGAGAATCTACAAAAATGTGCTACAAGGCTTTTATAAAGCTATCTTGATTTAAGACTACATTAACACTTTCTATTTTAAAAGATATATTTTTCTAGGTCAAAATTATTATACTTTATTATTTTTAATATCATTTTAATTATACTTTATTATTCTTAATATTCATTATACTTTATTATTCTTAATATCATTTTCAAAATCATTATACTTTATTATTTATTATATCATTTTCATTGCATATCTGAACTGATTTAAGCGTCTGTTAATTTAAATTATCTTTAAAGATCTTTTAATAATTTACCGTCTAATGATTAGATGATAAAAGTTTTTTTTTTTGTATTAGTATCAAATATAATAGGTAAATATAATTAGGCTATTAAAAATATACATTATGTTGCAACTGATACTAAGTTTTATTCCACTAATTATTTCAATGGCTGCTTCATATAGAACAAATAGAAGAAAAGTTATAAAGCAAATTGATAGAGAAAGTTGTAATCAGAAAAAAACCAGTAAGGCTTCTAATGATTGTTAAAGCGTTTGTTATGAATACAATGTATAAGAGAGTGATAATGGCAATGCAAGAGAAAATTTTCCTGTTCCAGGTAATAAATATGACAATGATCTTAATGAACATTATTTCACAACAGACACAGAAAGAATTTTTTTAGTTTGACTTCTACTAATATTGTGTAAAGGAATTTTATTAAATTATTAAAGGATATATTGTATAAATTTTTTAATTTATTAAATTATTAAAGGATAATATTGTATAAATTTCTGATAATATTGTATAAAGGAATTTTGATGCAAGTTAACTTTTATGTTTGCAGTGAAATACTGATACAATTATTTAACAATTTTCTGTTTAAAAATGATTTGAAAAAAAATGTAGTGATTCTTTGTCTTTATGTTTATGCAGGTAATACATTTTGATTTTATTATTTTTTACATTTATTGTATATAGTATTATGTATATATATACTACATGTTTTTGTTATTTCTCATAGATGTAGATTACATTTAAGTTGTACAAAAGACTATTACTGATGCACTATTTTTAATTTCTATTATATGTATATGCATATATATATATATATATATATATATATATATATATATATATATATATATATATATATATATATATATATATATATATATATATACATTTATATATATATTTATATATATATATTTATACTTATAATTTTAATATTAGTTATGGCATTGCCTAAAAGCTCATTAAACAAAAGAAGCAAGTTCTGAGATTTCTATCAAATCATATAAGTAGTTTGAACGCCAAAGTTCCTTTTAAACAAATTTAAAAAAATTTGTATGGAAGTAAAGCAGTAGAAAAAAACATTACTTTTGAATGTGTATAATTTGTATGAATATTTAACTCATTACAATAATTATTACAAATTTTGATTTTCTGTGTTATTATAAAATTTAAATTGCTTCCTTAAGCAGCATAAAAATCAATTTTCCTTTATCACAATAAAATTTATTCAAACTTATTTGGAGAAAAAAAAAACAATGTTTTTAATGAATGCGAGAAATAGTAAGAACAACCTTTTGAATCAAAATTATAAAGATTCTTATCTATAAAAATATTACTTTGTACCAACGTTAAAATGCGATGCTTGCCCAACGTCGGAGGTCGATGTTGGGTCAATGTTAGTTGCTAACTATCGACCAATGAATTTTTCGACATTGATCCCATGTTGGGCCAACGTCTATATGCTATCTGGGAAGTTTGTTCAATTATTATTTTGATTTTTATCACAACTACTTTTTTTTATCACAAACCTTTGTGAAAAATATAACTACACTGTCCTTAAAAGTTACCATTTATAAAAAAAAAAAAAAAAAAAAAAAAAAAAAAAACAACAACAATAGGATAAAAGGTAAAACAAGTCTAAAACATTTTAAATGAAAATTTGAGTTTTTAAAAATTTTTTCAATATAATTTTTTTTTAATTTCAGAAGGTATAAAGGACTTATGGCAAGCAGACAAACCAGGTTAAAAAACAACCATTTAAAATTTTTTTCAATAACAATTGACAATAGTAAAAAACTAGCATTCATGACATTAGATTAGGTCAAGTTATTAGGTAAATATAACTTTTTTCTAGCATTCAATGTTTTTTATTGATTAGATTAATACCACCTAGTTTGTAACCTAGATTGACAATTTTATGTATCTATTGTTTAATTTCATTATTTTGATGAATAATGATCATCTTTGCATGACAAATGTGTTACATGTAGCAGCTTTTTCACATCTTGATTCTCTTCTGAAATGCTAAGGAGATTTCCTAAAAACCATCAAGTGTCATCAAAACCATCAAGTGTCATAAAAAACATCAAGTGTCATAAAAACCATCAAGTGTCATAAAAACCATCAAGTATCATAAAAACCATCAAGTGTCATCAAAATCATCAAGTGTCATAAAAACCATCAAGTGTCATAAAAACCATCAAGTGTCATAAAAACCATCAAGTATCATAAAAACCATCAAGTGTCATCAAAATCATCAAGTGTCATAAAAACCATCAAGTGTCATAAAAACCATCAAGTGTCATAAAAACCATCAAATGTCATCAAAACCATCAAATGTCATAAAAACCATCAAGTGTCATAAAAACCATCAAATATCATCAAAACCATCAAGTGTCATAAAACATTAAGAAATCTACATGTCAGTCTACATATCTACATTTCATCAGTACTGTCAAATGCTTAATACAAGAATTTATGTACAGATTTAACACTTGGTGTGTGTGTGTGTGTGTGTGTGTGTGTGTGTGTGTGTGTGTGTGTGTGTGTGTGTGTGTGTGTGTGTGTGTGTGTGTGTGTGGAAGGGAGATTGCATAAATTTTTTAAGTCATGGGTGTTTGCACGGTAATATTTATATCTAAAAAAATTACAAAAGAGAAAAATAAAATTTCTTGTGGCCAAAAATAGCTTTGGGTCTATAAAGATCAAAAACCAAATTCTTATTTTGCAGTTAACTTTTATATTTATTTCCCAATATTAAATATATCAAAGAATATCAATTATATTTTACCCACTCTAATTTCTCTTCTAAATAAACTTCTGTGTAAAATAAATAAAAATGTGTAAAAAAAAATAAATTATTATAAGCATTATGAGTACGTTTCCATAAACTGTAAAACATGTTAGAATCAAACAAACATAAATACATATAGTCATACATATACATAAAGTCAGTCAAATGACTATAATAAACAAATATATATTATAAACATATATAAAATAATAAATTTTTATAAGAAATTATATTTCATAAAATCAAAATCATAGCAAATTAAAACTCATTTAATAAAAAACATTTTCAAAATTGCTAAATAATGCTGATAATTTGAAATGTGGATGTTTTGATTAAAAACTAAGAAAATATGAGAATAAACCTCTATTGTAGTAAGTTCCTTCCATGTAGGTTGAAGAATATGAATACCATCCAGAAGACGGGAAAATTTAAATCTATTTTCTGCGCTGTCAATCATTTCTGGTGATGTACCTAATATTCTAACCTAAGGTATCAAAACATATAATAAAGATAAGCATATTAAATTTTGTTATACTCTTCTACTCTGTCATATAAACTAAACAAAAATAAACAACATAATAATCTAAAGACATACATAAAATGCAAACCCATACTTTTAACAAAAAAAAATCAAAAAACACCACTAAAGCCACACTATATTAAGAAAAAAAGTTTTTCGCTAAAAGATAGGCTAAACCATTTTCTAATAGAGTGTGGCCTTAATCATCCATCGTTCATAGTGTGTATATGTATGTATATGAATGTATATGTTAGGGCCCTTTGAATTGTCAATTTTTGTTTCGAATTGAATCTCGAATCAAAGCAGATCTTGATTTGCAATTCGAATCACGTTTCAAATCAATATTTAAAAGCCTAAATTTAACCATTTTTTAGTTAATAATATATATTTCAAAATAAAATAAAATAAAATAGTTGTGTAATCTCTTTATTGATGCTTCTTGCCCTGGTTAACCCTTTTAATGACTGATTAAAAAGGTATTTAAGGTCAAGTAACCTTATTTTGATTGTGCCAAAGCGCAGAATATCTAACATACCCACAACAAAAACAAAATAAGGATTCAATTTTTGAAAATTTTTGAATCGTATCTCGAATCATATTTTTGATTCGATTTAAAATTTCAAAGCTTCGCAGGGCCCTAGTATATATATATATATATATATATATATATATATATATATATATATATATATATATTGCAAAAATTGTTTTAAAAACATTTCAAACAAATCTTTTAAAAACATTCCAAACAAATCTTTTAAAAACATTCCAAACAAATCTTTTAAAAACATTCTAAATTTTATTGACGCCAATAAAGTCATAGAAGAATTTAAACTATTACTTTTAATATTAAAATCTTGAAATGATTTCTAATTTTAAGTCAACTATTTCTAAAAACTTTTGATATTGATTTTTTGTTAGTTTAGCTTTGTTACTTTGGTGACAAACAACCATATTTAATAATAATAATTAATAATACAAGAATTTATTTATTTGGACTTGAAATAAAAATTGGGAAACTGCAATGGAAAATTATAACAAACTTTGTATAAGATTTCTTAAGAAGGCAAGTTAACAGAGCAGCTAAAAACTCTGCTGCTTCTTTTTTAAATATAACTACTTTTTGGTCATTGTAACTTAAATTAGCTTGATCAATTTTTAGTTTAGCAGCAAAACCAATACCGATTTCATTTATAAGTTTTCTGATAATTTTATTAGTTAACTTTATTTGAAGTTGCAACACCTATTTAAAAAATCTGTAGTATGTAAGATGCTCACTCACATATACAACCCTTGGAATTAGGGTCAGTCCTTAAAATCAAAACATTTGGAATTAGGGTCAGCGATCAGCAATACTGACCTAGAAGTGCTTAAAAGGTAAAAAACTGCCGACCTTGTTTCTATGTTTTATAGTAAAACCTTTGTATCAAATTGTTTTTGCCAACCTGATGCCAACCTTTTACAGATAAAGGTTGGCAAAATAATGCCAACCTTATTTTTACTAATTCTGAGGGCTGCATATATGTGATAGTGCCGACTAAAACTTTTTTTAAAATGTTTACTCTTACTTCTTAAATTACACACACCATAAAAATATTAAATTGTCCTTAAATTGTTTTATTTAATGAAATGACACTAAATAAGGTATTAAAAATAAAAAATATTTGTATTACCTAATAACTTGACCTAATCTAATGTCATTTCATTATTATGAAATGGGGTATGATTATTATTTTAATATTATTTTGACAGGCTGATACATTTAAAATTTTATGATATTACTAATTGATTAATTACTATCAAATGTTTTAAATAAAAAAAATTGAAATAAATTTAATAAAAAAAAACACACACACAATATAATAATAATACATAGATAACAATAATGTGTGTATGTGTATGTGTATATATATATATATATATATATATATATATATATATATACATATATATGTGTATATACACACACATTTAAAAATAAAAAATATATATATATATTCATTAAATAAATATAAAAACCTGTTGTCGATGCAAAGGCATTGCAATATTATTTGCAATTTGTCCACCCATTGATAGAATCACACCTTCTGGATTCTCTTTTTCATAAATATCCATTACAACCTAAAAAAACCAGTTTTCAAATCAAATATATTTCAATACTATTCACCACAGAACGTAAAAACTAGACAAATCTATTTCTATAATTAAGTTATTTTAGCCTTATAGTTTTTGAACTTGCTTTATAGATTCCTTGTAAATGTTAAAAAAAAAACAATATAAAATTTTTTTATTAGAGTTGAATATTATAACCTAAAGACTTATTTTACAGATAGCATGTTTCGTGGTCTTTGTGGCAACTTGAGATTCTTAACATAATAATATAGTTGAACCTGTTTTAACACTAGGTTTATGTAGAGTTAAACACAACTTATAGAATGTTTTTGATAAATACAAGTGAAAAATATTAAAACTAATGAAAGCAATTTAATAATTATTAAATTCACGTTACAATACTAAATAAAACTTATCAGTTTTTGTTTAACTGAACATAACTCAACTAAAAAGATAAATAATTTTAACTCAATTTAATATATACATATATACAATTCAATTATAAAGTTAGCAACTGTTAAGGCTGCTTCTCATTAACGTGCTTGTCATTTTCTTATTCCTAATTCCATTATCTACCTCTACAAATCTCTTATTTGGCCCTGTACAGAATACTGTTGTCATATTTGGGGTGGTTCATCTAATGATGCTCTTTCTTTTCTAGATAAGACCCAAAAACACAAAAAAGTTGTTGGATCTGCTATCTGTCAAGTTTGAACCTCTCACCTATGGTCGCAATCTTTTTCGCTTTTCTACAAATACTATCATGGTCACTGTTCAAAGGAACTATCATCTTTAGTTCCATTAACCTAAACTGATTCTTGCTTGAGTTGTCTTTCAGCTAAGTTGCACCCTTTTACTGTATCTGTCCCTGCATGCTTTAAAACTTTTTATTTGTCTAGTTTTTTTCCTTGCACTTCAATTCTTTGGAATTCTCTCCTATCTTCATGTTTTTCTGATTCATACATTTTTATAAGTCTTCTAAATAGTGTTGCTTGCAGCTTTGCTGAGAGTGAATTATATTTAAACTAGCTTACCAGACCTGTAAAAATACAGGTCTTGGTAAGTCTATTCCATATCAAACTTTTTTATACTTTTTCCTTATATATAAATATATATATATATATATATATATATATATATATATATATATATATATATATATATATATATATATATATATATATATATATATATATATATATATATATATATATATAAGCATTCCAGACCTGTAAAATACGGGTTTTTTACCCAACCCACCATTTCTATACTTTTTTATGTTAGACAAAAATATTCTTAAATAATTTCTTAACTTGCTCTTGTAAATAGTTTTTAAATTTTCAAAAACAGTTTTAAATAAAAATTTTTAGGTCAAGTTAATTAAGTCAAGTCAAGATAATTAACATACCTGTTATTAGAATTTCTAAAATGACTTGAAAATTAAATGATTTAAAAATTAAAAATTGACTAAATAAAGATTTAATAATAAAACTGATCAAAGTACTTTTTATTTAATATACCCGCGTTGTCAGGGTTGGAGACAAATACATTATATTAAATACATATACATTAAATCAAGATTTCTAAATAAAAATATATACTTTAGGTCAAGAAAAAATATAAATATTTTTTCAGGATAAAATGATCTAGTAAATATAAGAATAAAAACAAGTCTTTTAACAAACATTCCTTTAAAAAAAATTTTATTTGTTAAATGATTCAAATATGCTAAATTAGTCTGTTTTCACCAAATACAAATACATATTTGACATCAAACCTGGCATCAGTGAAATCGAAATCTAGTGTAGCTGGTCTGCTGGAGCACAGAGGAATACTATTAAGATTTAGCTTTGTTGTCACTAATAATATGCATTCTAGAAAAAATTTCTTTTGACTAAATTTGAACCTTTGGGTTGCAGATTAACACAACAAGAAAAATATTCCTTTATTAAATTTTATTGCACACAAATTTGCTTTAGTTTGTAATCTTAAACATTTTAAATATGCTTATAACATAATTAGCCACTTCACCCCCATGACTTGGTTAATTTTTGTGTTAAAATACTCATACTTTATAAGGTATTTCTACTTGTTGTCTTTATACTACACTTCTGCAATTATTTATATAAATGCAATTATTTATATATAATTATTTAGGGTTTAAAATGTTTGCTATTCAACAGAGTCTTTGCTATTTGGTATAGTATTATTATATAAAAATGCAACGTGATTAGTTGAAAGATTTTATATAACATCAATAGAGTTTTATTTGATATATTGATTTGTTTTATACTTAGTATTACTATTATGGACTGGTGCTGAGCACACATTTTGAAATTTTTGCCACTCCGCAAAAAAATGATTTTAATTAGCTGTAGCTTTTATTTCAAAAGGTCTGGGATAAATTAATGTAGTGAACTCTAAATTAAAAAAGTAGTGTACTGTGGTTGCCTATTAAAATTGCTGTGTTTTAAACATCACTACTTGCTGCTTTCTCATTATTAATGTTTTTTAAATAACCACATCTTGTATGAGTGTTGGAATAATTTAATTTATAAAATAATTAATAAGAACATCAAATACGAGTTCTCACAATAATAATTTTTATTATCTTTAAAAAAAACTTTTCTAGATTTTGATACTTAGTTACAATGAAAACTACAATTTTAATTCTAGTGGTGGATTGAAATAAGGTATTATGTCAGTTGCTTTAAAAAACTGCAGGAATCATAAGTTAATACTATAACTTTTATAATATTTATGTCTAAATAACTTTATTATTTAACTAAAAAAATATTTACAAAATATACACAAGTTTTTTACTCAGACTTGAAAAAAATTCTTTGCCTATTAAAAACAATACCTCAAAAAATTAAAAATTAAAAACAATACCTCAAAAAATTAAAAATTAAAAACAATACCTCAAAAAATTAAAAATTAAAAACAATACCTCAAAAAATTAAAAATTAAAAACAATACCTCAAAAAATTAAAAATTAAAAACAATACCTCAAAAAATTAAAAATTAAAAACAATACCTCAAAAAATTAAAAATTAAAAACAATACCTCAAAAAATTAAAAATTAAAAACAATACCTCAAAAAATTAAAAATTAAAAACAATACCTCAAAAAATTAAAAATTAAAAACAATACCTCAAAAGAAATTTCATCAAAGTAAAGTCGTTCACATTCATCATAATCTGTGCTAACTGTTTCAGGATTGAAGTTCACCATGATTGTTTTTTTACCAAGCTAAAAAATAACAATAATGATAGATTAGAAACAAAAAAATAAAGATTCCTTATTAGGAAAAAATACATTTTAATTATAGTTTACTTATATAAATACATATATAAAAATACATATATCTATATAACTTTTCCTTTTCATTTATTTCATTACAAGCAAATATTTACCAGAAACATAAATAAAAATAACTAAGAATATATAAAAAATATACTTAAAAAAAAAACATATTTGGTTGTTTTTATAATTTTCTTATAAGTATGTATGTATGTATGTATGTATATATATATATATATATATATATATATATATATATATATATATATATATATATATATATATATATATGTATATATATATATATATATATATATAAATATATATATATATAAATATATATATATAAATATATATATATATATATATAAATATATATATATATATAAATATATATATATATATACAAATATATATATATATAAATATTTATATATAAATATAAATATATATATATATAAATATATATATAAATATATATATATAAATATATATAAATATATATATATATATATAAATATATATATATATATATATATATATATATATATATATATATATATATATATATATATATATATATACTTATGAGAAAAATTCAACAAAAAAATATTTGAAAAAATGTTTGGTAAAAGACTAATGTCTTGCAACCATTGTCAATGTTTCAAATACAATAGAAATGTTTAGCATTGCCTAAGCCTCTGGAATATGGTCAGCAAGAAACTTAACATAAAACTTTACGTTCATGACAAATTTTCTGGATTTTTTTTTGACACTGTGTATATATGTGTGTGTGTGTATGTATGTATGTATGTATGTATGTATGTATGTATGTATGTATGTATGTATGTATGTATGTATGTATGTATGTATGTATGTATGTAAGTATGTATGTATGCATGCATGTATATGTGTGTATACACATACACACACTCTTGCTTGGTTGTCTTTAATTTATACCCATCAATGAAAGACGACCATAATGTAAACTTTTTTTGAAGAAAAAAGATAAAAAAAAAAAGTTTAAAAACCTAAAAAAAATAATTTTAATTGATTTTAATTAATAGATTGCATGCCAAAGCCAAAATTTAATTAGTTTTCTCAATTAAATTTAATAGTGAGTTATTAAAAACCATTTTTTATCACAAAGATTAAATTTAGATTTCAAACTGTAAGAAACATAAACATATATAATAGGGTAGGCTGAAAAACTACAATTTTCAAAAATTGCCTTTTAATATCTCTATATGTATTCTATGTAATAAAAAAACAGTAGAGAAAATAGTTGACCTAATTACTCCTAAACATTTACAGGGTCTCATTATAATTAAAAAAAAAATTCTTAAAAAATAGGTCAACCTGGTTTGAAGCCAAATTTTTTTTTTTTATAAACATCTTCACTTTTAACAACCATTATTAGAGTTGGATGTTACTAGTAGAGAAGAAGTTTATAAAGCAAGATAACTATTAACAGACAACATAAAAGATTGCAAATTATATGAATCAGGAAAACAGGATTAAAGGAGCGAATTCCAAAGAACTTGTTCCAGGAAAAAAACTAGACAAATAAGAACTTTTTGAGTACTTTGAAACAGTCACAGTAAAAGGATGAGACTTAATTGAATGACGAGTAACACAAGAATAAATTTAAGTATATGGCACAAGTGACGATAGTTCTTTAGAGCAGCGCCCATTATAGTATTTATAGAAAAGATTAAGAGAAGTAACATTACGACGATGTGACAATGGTTAAAGGTTGGCTACATATTCCATACAAGGACTGATTTTAGATTTATAGAGATAAATAAAAGAATCAGGAGTGAGAAAGTGGCAAGCACGATAAAGAGATGCAACCTTAGCAGATGCTAAACTTGCAATGGATTTGATATATGGTTTTGAAAAAAAATCGAAAGTAAGAGTTAATCTTAGAAGTTAAAGGAAAGATGACTCATCAAGTACACTACCGTTCATAAATATAAAAAGATTTAGATTATTGCAATAAATGTTAGCTGAAAGACTTTTTTAAAGTTTTATCTGATTTAAAGTTAATTGAGAGCTCCATGCTGTAGTGGAAGTGAGATCCTTTTCAAGCTTAAGTGGTCCCTTCAATATATATATATATATATATATATATATATATATATATATATATATATATATATATATATATATATATATATATATATATATATATATATATATATATATATATATATATATATATATATATATATATATATATATATATACACATATATATATATATATATATATATATATATACACACATATATATGTATATATATGTATATATATATATATATGTATATATATATGTATACATATAAATGGTTGATGTAGCAACACTCCGCACATGTTTTAAAGTAAAAAATAAAATAAAAACATCCAGTATGTTTTAAAAAACATTCTAGTCTTAATTTGCATTTTTGTGGTTTTATAAAGACCAATAAATTTAATTAGTTTCCTCAATTAAATTAATGCGTTTTGACATAACTTGTTTTGTCAAAATCGTTTTGACATAATTAATTTTGTCTTACTAGATGTCATAGAGTAGTGAAGTAGCTGATTTTTACCACAAATGGTAAGTTTAAGATCTTTACTATAGAGACAAGTAGAATTTTATTGTGAAATAAAAATTCAGAATTTTTAAGTAAGTTTACGTAATCATATAAGAATCCTCTTTAGAATATTACACCATAGTTTAATTACAAAATCAACATATGATAGTTAAAGTATATATAAAGATTAAAAAAATTAAAAATTTTAGATTTTTACAAATTAAAGGTCAAATATTATTACTAGTTATATCAAACATTATTATAGATTATATTTTTAAATTTCAATGTAAATGATATTATTAAAACTACTAGTATGAAAAGTTATGTTATTAACAGTTATTTTATTAAACATGTTTTAAAAATTATGCATGTTTTAAAAATGGATACTAAGCATATTTTAAAGTCAACTTATGTAAACTATGTACATTTAAATCTAAAATTTGTTTACCTTTTTCATTTCTCTAACACAACCAACAGCACATGCATCAAACTCAACACTGCTTCCAATATGATATACACCTGATCCAATAACCATTATTGAATTATTAACATCAACAAATGAAACATCATTGCTAATTCCATTGTAAGTTAAATATAAATAATTTGCTTCAGCAGGAAATTCAGCTGCAACGGTATCAATTTGCTTTACTAGTGGTAATATACCCATTTCCAAACGTAAATTTCGTATAACCAATTCTGTGCTGTAAAAAATTAACAATAATATTAATGGGAGCGTGTGTATTTATACATACATACATATAAATATATCAGCCTTCGGAATTAGGATCAGCATTTAGCAATGCTGACCTATGTGTCTGAAAACAAAAAAACTTATTACATGCATAATAACTTATTACATGCATATAATGCATAAAATAAATTGTGACTGTGATAAAGACAATAATAATAATATTGATTAAAAATAATAATAATGATAACAAAATAATAATATTAATAATTTAAACAAAAATTTACTTTTTATGATATTGTTCTTTCTTCACTTATGTGTATTGTTTTGAATTTGATTAAATTTTTTTAATAATTTAATATGTTTAAATAATTTAATATGTTACTTTTAAAATAACTTTTCTATTTTATTTTTAAGTTCTATGACTGACGCCACTTTTTCTCACTATTAACCTTTTTATGTTTAATAATTATTTTATTTTGATCTGTTTCTGTGAAGTAACTTAATAAATATTTTCTTTTTTGTTTTTTATATTAGACTATTTTGGTTTTTATATTAGACTATTTATTTTGGTTTTTATTACTATTTTGGTTTTGGTGTTTTAAATATGATGATGAGATGATGTTACTTTTTTTTTCTCTTTCCATTTTTTGTTTTAACTGTCGCATTTAAGATTGCCTGTTCTGCCTTAAAGTTTTTTAATTCATTTGTTTCGAAAAAGGTTGAGAAAATTTTAGTTTAGATGACAGTGGTGTTCTTATCAAATTTTAGTTTAGATGACAGTGGTGTTGTTATATTTTCTTTTTATTGTTTTATCTCTTTCAGTAATTTAAATATTCTTTTCACTTTATCAACAATTATGATTAGTTGTTTCAATCATTCATTCAGTGTTTATAAAGTGTTTTTTTTATCTTTACAGTGTTTTACTAGATTAAGTTATCAATAGTGGCTAGTTATCATACAGTTGCAATTTATCAATAGTGGCAAGTTATCAATAGTGGCTAGTTTATCATACTATTCAAATATTCCAAATAAATGCAAGTATAATTTATTACACAACGTCATTAAAAGTTCAATTGAAGTTTTTATCAAAATAGAAAAAGAAAAAATGATACATTAAATAATGAAAAGAAATTTTTTTACTAGGGTATTAAAGATAGCAATGTAATAAAACTTAAAATAAGTAGACATCTTGAAAATTGTCATCCATTAATTTATAAATCAAACAAACTATATCCACCATTACCATAATTACATAAAACTAAATAAATTGAAAACTAAAGCTATATCTAACAACATTACAATCAATTTGTTCACTAAAAACTTATTTTCTCATTTCAAAAAGTTCATCATTTCAGTTATTTCTATTTTAAATGGGTACATTTCTTTAAGAAATACAATCAATACAGACTTCACTGATTCTTTCACTCTATAGCTGATTTGTAAACCATTATAACAGAAAAGTTCTATTGTACATTAGATGGTAGCAGTGATTAGATGGTAGCAGTGATTAGATGGTAGCAGTGATTAGATGGTAGCAGTGATTAGATGGTAGCAGTGATTAGATGGTAGCAGTGATTAGATGGTAGCAGTGATTAGATGGTAGCAGTGAGGCAGGCTTATTACTCTTAATACATCAAAGGCTTTTTCATTGTCTTACTGGCTGGTCTTTTGTCAAATACAGCTTGGGCTTGCAGTGTCTGGTGAATTTTAACCAAACAAAACTCAGTTGGTTACTGATATAATAAATTAACTGATGCTGATAATTATTGAAATCCTTTTGATACTCTTCTTTTGATAAATGACACTTACTTAACGTACTTTTACTGAGTCCTTTTATTTCTTTTTGGATTATCATTCACTAATGACCTCTCATGAAAACCATACATAGAATTATTTGCTAAGTTAGTACCTGTTACAGTTACCTCTCTTTATTGTGTCACATTCTTACTCCTGGTTTCATTCTCTACCTCTTTAAATCTCTTGATTATTACCTCTCCTTCATGTTTTCTTGACACATGCAATTTACAGTTATTTAAGTTTACTGTCAATTGCTTTCTTACTATTCAACTCTTTTTTTAGTTTTCTGTTTGAGTTTTTTCCGCAATTTAAGAGAAAATACGATGAGTATAAAATAAAAACTGATTTAAAATGCAATTTTTTTTAGCTGACTAAATTGGCAGCAATTTTTATCAAATTATAAAAAGGTTCCCATTTTACAGGTGTTTTAATGGTGCACCACGAATTTAAAATTTCACTTGATTTGAACATTTAAATTAAATTTATTTTTGCAGACAAAATAAAAAGATTTCAAAATTTTCATCACAAGGTACATTAATGTGTTTGCTATCACCCCATATGACGCAACATTTATCAACCAGCTAGTTTGACATTATAAGGATCTGTAATGACTGTAATAATGTTTTTGTTAGGTTATTTTTGTTTTTACAAAAATTTTATAAAAGTTTAAAACCTGAGTAGTCTCAATAAAAAAATGTTTTGTTGGAAAGCTTATTTTTAACTTACTATATCATCTGTTAATACATATATCAAATCTTCAAAATGTCTAGTTAAATGATGTTTTAAAGTCTTACAGGTTCTCACCCTAAATGATGATTAGCTAGATTTTTCTATAGATTTATTAAAATCTAGATGGTATTTAGTAAAATTTAGATGATATTAAAGGATATAATACTATCTAAATTTTAAACTAAAGATTCTTGCACTCTTGTTAAAGAAGTAAACCATGCAAACAATTTAACTAACTTCTTGTATCTTATAATACCACAAACTTGTTTACCAATATTCCATTCAAAGAAACAATTGGAATTGCTATCAGCATTATTATATATAACAATTTTTATATTAAAATCAAAAAAAGTCATTTTGAAAAAACTCTTTCAATTTGCAACAGCTCAACACTAATTTATGACTAAGTTAATGTTGTATCTATGAGTTCTCCATTACCACCTGTATATTTTTATAGGTATTCTTAAAGAGAAAAAAAGAGAATTAATTTCTATAATGGAGTAAAACCAGCCTTTTACAAATATACAGTTAAACGTTTTTGCGGCTTTTTTTCTTAGAAAATTATCATATTTTTTTTATTAGCAATAAACACTCTTTGACCATTGGAATGGAATAAAAATCATAAATTTTTTTTTGAACATAACTCTGTATAAAACAAATAGTTTCACAAAATCATGTTTTATAGGAAAACATTTTTCAGATTAATAATAATTTTTAATAATTGATAATAATAAATTAATAATTGATAGTAATAAATTATTAATTGATAATAATAAATTAATAACAGATAATAATAAATTAATAATTGATAATAACATTCTTACAACCACTTTACATGTACTACATACATTTTGACTCTTCAAAAATAAAACGCCTTTAAAAGATTTTATAAAACTAACCTCTGAACACATTTAGCTATTTGTTTATCACTGAAACCCATTTGTTTTGCTTTGAGAAACACATCGTATGTCAGTTTTGAAACACCATCCTTAAATTATAATATATAAATACTTCATACATTGATATAAAAATGAATGTAAATAACCTTGACAATTTAAGTTGAGTTGAAGTAAAAAAAGTTGATTCAAGTAAAAAAATTATTAAAAAAGAAAAAATTAAATTAAACTTTTGAATTGTTCCAAAAAATATCTTTAGTGATAAGAAATTTTTTTAACTAAAAAAGTTTTTCGATTACTTTTATTTTCTTGTTTTGTTTTTTTTTGTTATTTTTAAGTAAACATTAATCCAATAAATTATTTAAAGATAATACTGGCGAGCAAAAAAAAAAGTGAACAGTGACAAATTTCATGAAAAATCTAATATAATTGATATCTTTTAAGAATTTTTTTATAAACACCTTACATAAATTTAAAAAATATTTATTTAGATTTTTGTGCAGATTTATTTAGATTTTTGTGTCCCCCTCTACTTTTTTTTTTTTTTACTTTGTTCAATCTTCAGGGGATTGAATCAATCAAAACATAGTAACCAAAAACTTTATCAAATTTATACTATAATAATATTGTAAGGCTGCATCTCTTTTACAATTTTATAAACCTTTTCTTGAGAAAAATAAAAAATTATAACTTTTAAATCTTTACTGATAGAAGTTTTAATAATGATTCAGCCATTTATCTCAGAAAAATGTAATTGGTTTACTACAAAGCAATTAATGTAAACCATTACACAATATATATTGTGTATGTATACATTACACAATAACAGAAAAAACACTATACATGTTTAAACAGACAATATTTACATATTTCAAAAAAAAAAAAAAAATTTTTATGGAATAAAAACAATATTTTAAAAAATAAGGAGGGCAGAATGTATTATTAACATGGCAACCTTAAGTAAATATACATATATATGTCATTGCTGATGACAATGTATAAATCGAGGGCATATACTAATACAGCCCTCAGAAATTGGAATTTATTTTTCAGCAATTTTTTGCTGACCTCAAACATTTTAGGTCAGCAGTTAAGTCAGTATTGCTGAGTGCTGCCCTAATTCCGGGGGCTGATGATAATGTGAACACAAAAAATAAGATGATTTGGGTTGGAGAGAGAACTATTCAACAGCTACAGAGATTTATTACAAAAAGGAAAAAAATCATCTCGCGGAACCATTATTTTCCTAAAAGCTGTTTAATTTTATGTTAATGTAAAAAATTACTCACACTGGAATATTTTCTGAGACTTTCAGCATATCGTATAATATTTTCAAGTTTAAACAAAAACCATTTATCAATTTTGGTGAGATCGTGCAGCTTAGAAACACTGTAACCTTGTAGTAGAGCAGAAGCAAGTGAAAACACACGTGTATCAGATGGTTCTTCAAGTTCCTGTAATACAAAAATCAAAAAGTTTAAATATTATAAAATATATTTAAAAAAAATAGCAGAATCTTTTAAAATCTTTTTTTACCTTTTCATCTAAAATTTTAGTATGAGCATCAAATCCAATGTTATGATCGTTAACCATTCGCAAAGCCTTTTGCATAGCTTCTTCAAAACATCTACCAATTGCCATAACCTCACCAACACTTTTCATAGATGAACCAATCTAAAAACAACTAAATTACAACAACTAAAAACAACTAAATCCACTAAAATTATGAAATTGCTATTAATAAAAAATACTTTTATAAACTAAAAGAACAAAGTTTTTAATTTACATGGAATTTACAAGTTATTTTAGAAACAGGTTTTAACTATGAACACTGTTATTAAACATAAATTATAAAAATTTTACTTGACTACAACTTGTGATGTTAAAATATCATGTTAACATTAACCTCTGACAGCAAAAAATAATGTGTGGGGTTTTAAAAAATGAACAATGATTATAACATAAAAACAATGTGCTGATCAAAATGTGAAAAAAAATTAAATTTTTCAAAATTAATGTAAACAAAAATAGATTTATGTTGATAAAGTTCAGAGTCGACACAAGAAAAAATATCATTTGTAAATAATAGTAAAAAAAAACTTAAAGTATGGATGCATTAAATATCTAAAAGTTATTTAATAAACTAATAAATAATAAAATTATTTAATAATTAATAAAATTAGTAATTAAGTGTCAAAGCAATTTTTCTTATTCATTTTATATTAAATTAACAATAATAACAAATAAATAACAAATAACAACTAAAAAAAAAAAAAATTAAACACCTTTTTACTGACTCCCTGAAATTTATCTAGATCCCACCTTGGTACTTTAACAACACAGTAATCAAGGGATGGTTCAAAACATGCGGTTGTAGAACTTGTAACTGAATTTTTTAACTTTGGCAATGGGATACCAAGAGCTAATTTAGCAGCAATATAAGCTAAAGGATATCCAGTAGCTTTGGATGCAAGTGCTGAGCTCCTTGATAATCTTGCATTCACTTCAATAATGTAGTACTAAAGAAAACATAAAAATTTTTGAAAAAATTAATTTAAGTCAAAATTTCACACGAAATAATTGTAAGCATAAAAATAAGTTATTAAAGTATTATATAGTATTTTTTTTATAAAAACATTTCAATGTTTAAATGTGTTTACTGACACTTTTACTTTTGAAAAAACTTTTTACTATAAGTTATGATTAATTTAATTGTTAACCTTTTTACTAAATGAATAAAGCTATACATAAAATATAAAAACTACATTGAAATATTAAATTTGAAGAAATTTATTATTCTGGTAGAAGGCCAGTGTAAATATACTTGTTAAATAGGAGATGCAATTAATTTCTGAAGTTGTGCTGAAGAAACAAAAACAGGTGCAACCAGGTAAAAACTGTAAAAAATAACATAGCATATACATCAAATACATTATGACAGCTGGAACTCGAGTAAAGAAGAGCAAAATTAATAATGCTGGAAAGAGCAAAGAAAAATAAGCAACAACTAAAAAAAATTGAGCTCAGAAAGAGATTAGGAAAAGAGTGCATCAGCTGGAATAAACAAGTGTAAAGATACAGGTAATTGGATTATTTGCATAAAAATATGCACAAACAAGATTTTGAAAGTGAAAAGGAGAAGCAATTGTAAAAACTAGCATCAGTAATTTTTAAAAGCAGCAGCCAGCAAATTCACACTTACTGTATATAGGGAAAATTGGGAAGACTTCTTTTTGGTTGTCTTTTATAAGCTTCTCAACATTCTTACTTTTTTTGCAGCTGCAAGTGTCTATTTTTACGGGGTGCAAATAAAAGTTTACAAAATTTGAATAGTTGACTTTAAGGAATGGCCAGCCAATAGCTAATTCAAAATTTTAGGACTTTATAGGACTTTTTACAGGACTTTTCAAGGACTAAGATTTACAGGACTTTTTAAGGATATATTGATCTTTTCTCAATTTAAAAAAAAATATGTTGATTTATGAAAAAAATATGAAAAAAAAAATAACTAAATAATTAATAAATTTTAATAATATTGACAGTAAAATTAACCAAATTTTTCTTTTGCATTACAGAAAATAAATAATAATCAAATTCAGTATAAATCTAAGCTAAACTAATGACTCTGCAAAAAATAATAACATGATGACAATATATTGAATAATTTCAGAAAAAAGTTCCAGGATTTACAGGAATTATTGTTAAAAGAGATGCTTCTCTGAGACTTTTCCACAACTTATTAAATTCCAGGACATTTTTCAATGTTTTCAAGGACTGTTGGCTACCCTGAATTGTTATGTCGCAAACATTAGAACAACATCAGAGAAGACTTTGGATAGTGTCTGAAGTCTTCTCCAATGCAGTGTATTGGAAAAATCAAGGGATAGGATACCAACTCATTTATATATTACAAATACTTACATTCCTGAATGTCTACAGGTAACCCTTTGTTCTTAAAAAAATTGCACCAACTCTATTGGCTATTTTTATTATTTTTATTTTATTTCGGCTTTAAACTCTATTGGCTATTTCGGCTTTAAACTCTGGCAGAGTTAAAAACTAGGGTCAGAATGATTCACAGGAATGCGTCAAAAATTTTACATAAAAGAACCAAAAAAACGTTTTTTTTTACTCTAAAATCTGTTTTTAAAGCTAATAATGTCTACCAACAAACGATCAAAGACAAAACTGCTCTAATTTCAACAGGGTGATTAATTAATATAGTAACACTCTCTCCCTATGTCTGAAATCTCCCAAGTCTCCCCCGGAAATATTTATATAATACATTTTATATATTATAAAACCAGTGCTGATATTGATATAAGTATTTAACATCTGGTATGCGTAAAAAAATTGTAGATACATACATATACAAATAATTATTATATAATTATTGATAATTATTATTATATAATTATTGTTCTATCAATTATATCATCACACATATTTAATTATTTACTTACATACAAAAAACATAACTATCACAAATATCAAGTCATACAAATTAAATTGTTTTTTTATACTTAGTAGAAACATATTTTTTTAAATCTTCTATTAAAACAAAAAACATAATATGCAACAACTGGTATGGGAAATTTCAATGTTTTGACAACCAGTTCATATTGGCATATACCACTGTATATAATATATACCGACATATCACCACTGCATATAACATAAAAATATTTATTGAAAACAACATTGTTGGTTTGGAAAAATATAAAAAACAAACCTCTTTTGATTTTGGATTTAAAGCATACTGTATGTTACACTCTCCGATGACTCCAAGATGTCGTATAACTTTAATAGCTACTCTTCTTAATAAATTATATTCATCATTTGAAAGTGTCTGGCTAGGTGCCACAACTATTGACTCACCAGTATGTATACCAAGTGGGTCAAAGTTCTCCATATTGCACACCTAGATATATTAAAATAATAAAATATATATAATGTAAGTCAGATTTTTGAAGATTAAAACATTAACAAATCAGATTTGCTGAAAATTCATCCTAACCATTTGAATCCTTAAAATAAGCTAAAAAACTATTAAAATAACAAAAAACTCATTTAACTAAAAAAGTTAGAAAAAACATTTAATTTAATTAAATTTAAAACTTGCAAAAAAATACCGTAATACAATTGTCATAAGCATCTCTCACAACTTCATACTCAATCTCCTTCCATCCTTTTAAAGATTTATCAATCAGAACTTGCTTTGATTGAGCAAATGCTGTTAGTGATAACTTTGTAAGTTCAGCATCATTTGATGCAAACCCTGATCCTAAACCACCAAGAGCAAAAGCCGAACGCAATAACACTGGGTAACCAATTTTATTAGCAGCCGCAATAGACTTAAAAAAAAAAAAAAAATTTATTATTATTTTTTCCCTTTTAAATAAATACTTTTATAAATAAAATTTTACCTGCTCAACAGTGTAAGCTACATCGCATGGTGCGACATGTTCTCCAATTTCCTCCATTTTATTTGAAAACAATTTTCTATCTTCAGTCCATTCAATGGATTCACATGGTGTGCCAAGGACAGAAACATTGTATTTATCAAACACACCTTTCTCTTTAAGTTCTAAACCACACATTAGTGCAGTTTGCCCACCAAAAGATAAAAAGATACCATCAGGGCGTTCACATTCAATGACCTTTGTTAAATATTTGTAAATAAATATAATGTATTAAGTATTAAAATTAAAATTTTCTTATACTAAATTATTAATTTGTTTATATTCAAAAAAACATTTTTATAACTGTAAACAATTTTATTTCTTCTTTATCATAATTAGTTTTTATTCATACCTTTGAAACATATTCAAATGTTACAGGTAAAAAATAAACTTTATCAGCCAGTCCTTTTGATGTTTGAACTGTAGCTATGTTAGGATTCACAAGGACAGTATGGACATGCTCCTCTTTTAAAGCTTTTATAGCTTGTGTTCCTGAATAATCAAATTCACCTGCTTGACCAATTGAAAGTCCACCAGAACCAAGGATAAGAACTTTACGTGGACGAACTAGTAAAAAAATTAACCTTGTTCATGAAAATGCTTTTTAATAACAACTGGGTGTGTTAAGCTAAACAAGATTACAAGTAAGATTACCCATAATCTTATTAAATAAGATTACATGTGCGCTAAACTAGACTCCAATTAAATTTGATATTTTTAATTAAACTATATTATTAACTATAGTTTACTACTATTTTTTTATATAGTTTTCTACTGGAACTTTCTACTGGAACTTTCTACTGGAACTTTCAACTGGAGCTTTCTACTGGAACTTTCTACCAGAAGATAATAACAAATCTTTATACAGTCCAAGAACTGATTATACTTAAATTTTTTTCCGTTTGTGATTTAATATGAAAGTTACCTTGCATATTAAGTATAACATATAGCATATACCTAAAATTATTATTTATATAAAAGTGATAGCAATGTATTCATAAACTGGTTTAAAACTGGTTTAAAAAATAGTGTTCACTTATAGAGATTTATTTGCAACTAGGGAGCTGTATTTATCTATTTTATAATATTTTTAAAACAAAAAAGTTTGCAGAAGTAGCATTAATTCCTGATAATAATATTCCATACTTGATGATGGGCATCAAGCCAAATGTGGCTAAACCTAAAAAGTTGAATAAATATTTAATACTTCTTTTTGTTTTTTTGTCAACTTTAGTTTTTATAGTTGATTCAACTTTTTTGTTTTTATGTTTTATGTTTCTATGTTTCTGTAAAAATGTCTAACCTTATAAATAAGAGTGCCAGCAACCTTAAAAATTCTAAAAAGCTTAAAAATAAAAAATAAAAAAAGTCAGAGAATAAGAAATACAGTAATGAAGCAGAATGCAAGATTGATAAACTTTTAATTTTTATGAAAAAAATTATGCTTAAGGGTAACTTAACAAATATGTGCACAACATAATTTAATACATCTAAATGCTTACATTCAAATTATATTAAAGATAAAAAAAACAAAAAAAAACATACATGCTTTAGAACTTAATCCGATTGGCTTAAATGTAAGCTTTTCTTTTAAAAGGTTTTTCAGCATAGGTGCTGAACCATTTTTAAAATCTGCTACTATGTCAATAAAAAAAGGAAACAAAAACTCTAAGTCTCTAGGACCAGCTTTGTGCTCAGGATGAAACTGCACAGAAAAATATGGCAGTTTGTTATGAATAATTCCTTCATTGCTGTTGTCATTAGCATTTGTAAAAAGGATAGACCAATCAGCAGGCAGAGATAATGAGTCAATTGCAAAACCATGATTTTGACAAGTAATAAAACATCTTCCAGTGTCTGAATGAATACATGGTTGATTATGTCCTCGGTTACCATACCTAAATCATAAATACTGACACTAAAAAATTTTAAAACAAAGAAAATACATCAACTTTAATATTTTGCTTTTAGTCTTGCACCCTCTTGCTTGTTATTTATTGCACCCTCTAGCTCATGTTATTTATAAAATCAAAAAGCTACTATAATTATTAAATGTTGACAAAAAACTAAAATATTTTAATTTTAAGAAAAAAGCACGACAAGGTGTCAAAAGCAAACATATTTAGAATAAGTTGTGTATTTTGAAACATTTTACCTTTATACCCCACATTTTTATGGGTGCTACAGGATCACCATTAAAAAAACTTATATCCATAATAATATATTGTTTAGAAATTAAATGTATATGTAAAAATGTATAAATATTGTACATAAATAAAAATTAAAATTAATTTTTTTTAAACTTGCTTCATTTTATATGACTTGCAACCAGCTGCAAGTGAGAGAATTTGATGACCCATACATATTCCAAAAAGTGGTGTATTAGGTAGCTCATTTAACAACTTTCTGACATTATCTATTGTTTGACCACACATACTAGGATCACCTGGACCATTACTCAAGAAAACTCCATCATATTCTAAAGAAAGAAAAGTAAAAATAAAAAGAATAAAACGACACAATCATATATATATATATATATATATATATATATATATATATATATATATATATATATATATATATATATATATATATATATATATATATATATATATATATATAAATTTTTATCTTGCTTGGATTTAACTGACAAGCAAGATAAATACTAAACCTCACAGGATCTTTTTCAACTCATAAATTTTTACATTAATATTATATAGCATATACCATGCCTTGCCCTAACCAAACATTTGCACATGAAGTCTTGATGTATAAAACAAGGAAAGTTTTCTTGTCTTTAAACAAATGAACACAAGAGCTTATTTGCGAACATTTCAAATATTGTTTTCTTTATATTTATATATTTTAGTATAAGGTAATGTGAGGTTACTTTGACATGTGGGTAATATTGACATATGTTTGATCGTTTTTACCGGTCACCTATTGACTATTGTTTAAATTATTTTAACAGATGCTGAAGCCATATGTAAAATAAACAAATATAACTATTTTAACCCGAATAATAATAAATATAAATAATATGGCGAGCATAAATTAAACTAATGTCTAGTTTTGATGGTGGAAAAAAAATTTAGTTTAAAGATAAATAAGAACATACTATAATATCATTTTACATGTATTTTTATGATGTTGTTTTTAAATACTAAGCGTGTATGATTTTTTTGTTGCATTTTTTTTTAAACACATATTTCAGTTTTGGGGTAACATTGACAGGAATGCTTAAGTCACCCTTATAGGCCAAGAATCAGGCAAAGGTTCGTGGAATGCTTCCATCTGATGAATCTTTCACGATTACATGAAATGGAATCAAATAAAGCGGTCCCTAAATTAAAAAAGGTAATCTTAAGAAAAAACATCAAGATGTCAACCGATCTAAAAACCAACACTCTCAAAAAGGTGAAATCCACACCTAACAATGTATCATAATACTGGTAAGAAAAAAACATCAGAAACTGAAGATGTAAAAAATTATCTTGTTGTTTCAGAAATTAAAATAAACACATTTACAGCATAAACATACTATTGTCAAAGTTACTCTTTGTAAGGATAACATTGACAGTTGAACCCCATAAACAAAATTAATTATCTATCAATAATTTTAGATAACTAATTAAATTCTTCATCAGTTTATGGCAGCAATATCATTGGTAAACGTGTAGAAACACTGCATACCAAATTTAGTTTGTCACAACTAAAAAAAATTATTATTTTCTAAAGATGAGTTAATGTATCAAACCCCACTTTAGTTTATTAAATTTAATGTAAATTTAATACTATATAACTAAGAATTAATACAAATTGAGGAGTAAATTATGTTAAAATAAAATTGAGCAGTTAATAATATTAAATTAAAGTAATTGAAATCACATCAATGTTTATTCTACTACAATAGTTTTTTTTTAAATAAAATTTTATTTAAAAAATGAGGTATTGTAAGCTAAAATGATGATATAACTACGTGACCTGTACTTCAAAAATCAGGATTGCATAACTTCCAGGAGTTACACATCCATAAAAAATAAGTTATTAAATAAAGACTTCATTTTTGCATTTATTAAAAAATTATAGTCAACTTGCAGTTTTATTTACAAATAAAACTGCATGTTGAATAAAATGTCTAAATAAGATGTTATAACTTAAGACAGATAAATCATAATACCACAAGCAATAAAATATATTTAAAATACTGAAAATTTTTTATTCTAACCTTTACTTTTTATTAGAGGGCAAAAATCATAATTCCATGGCACAACTTTCACTTCGCAATCGCATTCAATTAGACTTCGAATCTGATTGTATTTAATTCCAAGATCAACAGCAACCAATTTATATTTTCCACCAACATTGTATGAAATTGGCTCCTAATTTTTTTTTTTAAGAAAATTTTATAACTTTTCTTTATTCTCTTATTTGTATTTTTGAGGTTAAAATTAAAGTTTTTTTATAAATTAAATATATTGATAAACAGTAAAGCATAAATAGGCATAAAATTACCACAAAAAAAAATTCTGCATATATTTTTAATATATATATATATATATATATATATATATATATATATATATATATATATATATATATATATATATATATATATATATATATATATATATATATTACTTAAATAATTATTATTTAAAAATTATATTTTTGTGAATATGGTGAAATTTCTTCTGGCGTTTTTTTTTTTCCTATCATATTATATAATAGCAAAATCAATACTCATTGGAGAGTGTTTGACACGATACTTTTGGCAGCCATTGCAACCAAGGTAATAGCAAGAAAGAATAGCAGCACTTTTTTATATAAGAAAAGTCAACGAAAGTGTATGCTATTATCTAACTTACGCAAATATCTAACTTTCTTCAAATTTGTAATGTTAAAAACATACTGAAACATATATCAAGTTTTCCAGTTTTACTTTCACTGGAAAATTGCATTGTGGCAACATCACCTTAAGATGTGATCTGTAGCACTTAATTCCATTTGATAAAGTCTTTGTGTTATATACTTTTTAAAACTTTATCAGTGAATAAGTATGTGTAAGTAAGTATGCCGAGTAATTAGTACACAATGCTCTGCAGCAGGAGTTCCAGGTTCAATTCCTATTATCGGCTTTTTTTTTTTTTAATTTAATCTTTTTTTAATTTTTTTAAAATTCAAAGTAAAACGCTTTCGAAGAAAAAAGCTTGGTTTGAAAGAATTTGTTTTGCATTTTTAATAACAAATATTTAAAAAAAAGACAAGACTATGATTTAAACTTAATCATAATTAATTAGGGGGTTTGAAAAATATGTTTTTATTTGAAACATAATTGAAAATTTCAACTTTATATTTAAAATAAGCCATATTAACATTATAATTTTTAATTAAATAAAGTAATAAGTTAAAATACATAATATCAAGGTAATAAAGAAGTTTAAAGTTTTTTCTATTTTACAACACCCCGTTAATCATTCTAAAACGTGTGCGCAACATTGACAGAATTTAGATAACTATCAAAATAATATTATACTCTGTATAATATTGGAAGGACTCAGACGCTTTCAACAGATAAAGCACAAGGCATTGAAGATATAATGTATAAATGTTAATCATTGTAGATATAATGTATAAATACGCTGTAGGTATGATACACAGATATAGACGCTGTTAGTTTTTTGTATTTCCTATTTTACCTTTATAAATTTCTGAAATGTCACCTGAAATGAATCTTCTATTATCATTATCATAGTTGAAACGATTATTAACTATACTTTTATTTGTAAATAGTATATATTTATATTTATTTGTGAATAAAACATTTTTTCAAATATTTTATGTTATTATGCATAAATAAATTGATTTGCAGTTTTTAAATGTGATGCATTTTTCCCTTTATTTAATTCGATTAATTTTTTTAGATAAATTAGATGACGTGTTTGTTCAATATAGTCATACAATTAAAAACTATTGAAAATTTTTATGTTTTGTTAATTTTTTAATATGTAAATAAAAATATTTTTTTTTTTTACAAAGCTATTTGGCATTTTTTTAAAAACACTATCTGAAATGATTTGTATTTTATCTATGTGAACGAAAGCCTATGCAAACAATTAACCTGTAAACTAGTTATTTAAATTATATCAAATTTTACAGATTTACTTTTACTTAAAAATTTCATTTCAACAATATCTTTTTAATTTTGATTTATACCATTTATATGCTATAAATGTTTTATAAACTTTAATAAGTCTTTGGTTTATAAACAGTTTTAAAAGATGATAAAGCATGCTAAAGTGGTTGAAGTGTTTCGTGTGGCTTAAAATCCTTTAGCTAAAAATATTTATTATTTAAGTTTTTTCTAATTTTCTAGAATAAAAAATAAAACATTTAAAAAATACTATGGATATATGGATTTTAAAGCTATAACATATATAAAAAAATTACATACTGTAACAAACAAAAAGTAGAGAGTTTTTTAAAAAAAAAAATTAAATTTCTAAAAACATGAAAACACCATTGGAAAATTTTTGCACATATGTCATGATAGAGATAATTATAAGCACATAAAGTTTATGTGCTTATAATTAAGTAATTATTGTTTATGATAAACAACTTACGTTGTTAATGTGCTCAAGTAATTATTGTGCGCGTTTATATGACATTAAATATGGCATATAAAATATGCCATTAAAGTTGGCATATTTTATATGCCAACTTTAACATCAGATGGTCTGAAAAAAATTAATAGAAAATTATTAAAGAAAAAAATAATCAAGCCCCTTCCTTTGTTTTTGTAGAAGTTATAAATTATTAAACATAAATCGATAACTCAAAACAAAGTTTCTTATATTTTACTCTTTTTTAAAAAATTATTGAAATAAATCGAAATTATTAAAATAGTTGTAGTGTAATAGACTTAGAATGACCAGAATATGGGTCATGGTAAGTCCGTTATTCCACATATTTAAGTCATCTCATGTTTTTTTTTTATTTTTCAAACCGAGGGTAATTAATAAAGACATTTAAGCAGGTATTCTAAATGTTATTTAGACAGCTACTGATATTTAATTAGTTGATAAATAGCGATTTGCGTAACGGCTACCGAAATGTCTAAAAAAATTTTAAAAGCTAATTAACTTTTTTGGTTCAAAGCTTTAAAAAGTAAATAATGAGTATAGTTTTTGTATATGGTTATAGTTCTGCCGCCAACTAAAAAATATTGAAGTAAGGAATATGTATAGAAAAGGTCGGTGTGGAATAGATTTACAAAGACCCGTATTTTATGGGTCCGGATTGCTAGTAATAAATGAATTTTGTATAGTTTCAGCGATTTATTTTTTTAAAAAAATTTGCTTTAGGATCCAACTTTATTTTTAATGGGTCGAAATTCTTTTTGGCTGCAAGCAAGCACTATTAAGCCAGAAGTTACTAATAATAACAGAGTTAAAGAGCAAGGAAACAGTTGACAGAAGACTTAAAAAGTTGTAGGCTGTATGAGCCAGGAAAACCATGAAATCGATAAGCACATCGTTATATTTAACCATAAAGGACATTTGTCTAATAGTAAACAAGTATTTAAAGTTACTACTATAAAATGAATAAAACAACTTGCTGCAACTACGCCAAAAAAAAAAATGGACATACCCTGGTAATAATAAAATCAAACATTGAGTAAAAGTATTTTGTTTATGCATTAAACTTTGATAGCCACACTTTCTGGTGTATAAAAAATGATTTTTGTATACACCAAAAAATAATGAACAATTGCAAAGTGCTATATCTAAATATGAACAACTGAAAAATGTCAAGATTTTGTAAAACTTCCATATGTACTATCTTTTGAACCACTTGGAATTTTTACACACACACACACATATTAGGGTTATGACTTTTTTTGTAACACCATGTACCAGGGTCATAAATCAATGTATATTTGTACTTAAAGAATAAAAAAAAACATAAATTTAATTTCTTTGATGAAAAAGGTCAACCACAAAAAAAAAAAAAAATCAAATTTACATAAATGGAAAAAAAAAAGATTTAAACAATTTTATGATTGTTATTTTTTAATTGTAATTTTTTAATTGGAGAGTTATCAAGTAGTTTTTAGCATTTAACAGATTACTGTTACGTTGTAACACTCTAAATATCTGTAAGTCTTTTCTCTCTCTTGTAGAAGAATAAATGTTAAATGGGCTAATATTACTCATGATTTCCATCTTGCATTAAGCAATTTAGGTATTTTCTGAAATATTTAGGAAATTTTAGAAATCTTAAAACCTGAAATTTTAAAATCTGAAAATTTTAGGAAATACTCTAGATTCTTCAAAAAATATTCAAGTTAAATAAAATGGAAAGTTCATATCACCAAGCAATTCTGCTGTTTCAGAAATCACTTCTTTACCATTCTTGAAATTATTTTTGAGCTATTAATAGTCCTTTACAAGTTCCGTGATAAACAAATATTTGATATTAGGCGACATGTTGTTTCCTCCAAATTCTTCATCCATTACTATGCGAAGGATTTTGTCAATAACATGATGACAACCAATGAATTTTGGTTCTTCTAGTTTTTTTTTAGTAAAACGCCTTTGTAATTGAATGACAATTCCTTCTCTTCCAGCGTTTATATTCATAGTGTCGACTCATCTTTATAAATTTCATAACTTAACTTCTCTTTATTAATTCTTCTTCTCTTTATTATTATTCTTCTACACTAACACTTGATATTCTTAGGGACATTTACTATCAAAATGAATTTAAGTTTTTAAATGTATTTAGAATTAAATATGATTGTAAACATACACACATACATATATAAGTTTTAGCAATATAATTTTAGAAGACTGAAGTATAAGTTCAAAAAGTATTTTTTGATTGTAAGTAAAAATATATTTGAAAAAGATTCATATATTATTATTACTGCATGTTTCACATGAGAACTATTGAATAGAAAAACTTATTGTATATTTTACATGAGAACTATTGAATAGAGAATCTAATTGTATGTTTCACAAGAGAAACTTACAAGAACTGTTAAAAAGATTTTGATAGTTGTCAACATAAATTGCGGTATTGGTGTAGTGGAAGAGCACTCGCCTTAAAAGCGAGAAGTTGGCTGTTTGATCCCCACCACGCCCATGGTAAAATCGCGCTGAACTTGTTTCTCAGTGCAGCAACTTTGGTTCATTTTTCAGATTTATAGAGTTGAGAGAGAGAGTTGTAAACACAATTAAGTACAACAAGTACCCTTTTATTTCCAATTAAAGTAGCTTCCTCAACTCTAGTGGCATTCTCGGCCTTGGAAACGTTAATTAAAATAAAAAAACAACTTATTAATCTATTAAGATTCTTTCCATCCTTTGACTGTCGTCTTTACACAACAACTTTAGATAATTTTTTTACACAATTTACTTTATTTTTATATATTATATGTTTTATATGTTATATAAATTTACTTTATTTTAATTTATTTATCATAATTTTATGTTAATAATTTTCCATAACTACATAGTACACTCTTAGACTCTTAAACTACATAGTACTTAGAATGACATAATTTATATATATATATATATATATATATATATATATATATATATATATATATATATATATATATATATATATATATATATATATATATATATATATATATATATATATATATATACATAATTTTTTCTTATTATTGTAATAGTGTTAATAAAATGCTTTATAAAATAAACAAATAAAAAAAAATAAAAAAACCTACTTTTACTGAAACTTCAGCAACAAGATTGACTTTATTAGGATCAGAAAATTGTATATCCTCATCACCATCTACGACAATCTAAAATGACATTTTTATATAAGATCCTCTGCAACAAATTATTGACCTTAAACTATTTAAATCAGCATAAAAATACACACAGTATTATATATTATACAAAATTTTTTCAAGATTTTTTTTAAAAACAAAAAAACAAACAAAAAACAACAAAAAACAAAAAAATTCTTCTAAAATAATCTTTTAAAATAGTGATATAATAATTTGATAATAGTTTAATAACTATCACAGAGATCAAAAAAAGTTTCATACATTGGAGATACATCATCAGAGAGTGCAGATATATCATCAGAGAGTGCAGAAGGATGTTAAACACATTCCCGATATAAATTTATATAATGTATTAAACAAAGTGTGAAGAAATAAGACAATTTTTTTAACTTGTTAAAAACATCTTTTTAATAAAAAATACATTTCTTAATTAGTTTCTAGTCATCTTCAATTAAAATAAATATATATTGCAATTAATTTTAAATTAAAATAAAGTCTATGGTTCCATATATATAATTAGTTTCCTATAAAATTTCAATTTCAATTTAATTTTTTTTTGTAACACTACCATTTTGAAGATGTTCCCTCTAATTATACCAACAATTAAATGGTGGGTTTTATATCAGAGTTATCCATCTTTTGGATAATTGCTTTCACCACAGCTAAGGATCTGCTCTAATATAAGATCAGTTTAATGTATTGACCAGGACAATTATACATTAGGCAACATGTAATTTTTATTTCTTTGATTTTTTAAAACCTTTTTTATTTTATTCAGAAATTATATTTTTTAATGCAACTTCATATATGTTGAATGTTTCTTGTTATTCCATGGTTGAATATTTGCTGCGTATTTGTTGGATATGAATAAGAATTATTGTTAAATGTGTATTTGTTCTAATTATGACATTAAACTGATTCTATAATATCCTATTAAAAAAATGTTTGCACAGACTAGGGGTTAGACATGGAGAAAGCAACTTAAATAGGAGATAGAGAAAAAAAATGTATATATATATGTAGGTATATATATATATATACATATTAATATATATATATATTAAAGTTGCATTAAAAAAATATAGGTATGAACAGCTCATTAATGGTAATCTTCCTAATGATGATTTTACAATAAAAATATTAAACAGGTTGAAGCTTGGAAGAGCATCCAGTTGTAAAAATCAGCTTTCAAAAAATGTCAAGCTTTAAAAAAAACAAAAAACAATACTATATCTCCTGTTGCACAGATTAAGACACACCTGAAATCAATCATTAGTCAGAAGCAAAATAATATGTTAACTGTGGTTTAACATAAATTTCATCCATTAGTAAAATGATGTGTCTTTGAGAAATAGAACATTTGTCAAAATACAAGTTTAAAAAATCATCATATATAACATTTCTAACTTTAGATGTCAACTTTGTTATCAATGATATACTTGGTAATTCGTATTCATCACGTAATCGAGAGTAAAGAGTTTTCGACAATGAAAAGTACTCAAATGCCCTAGCAACTATATCAGAAAAATACTTTTTTTTACCAATAAACATTAAGGCGTTCATACTTAATATCTGTTCAATAATAATACTTTTCTTGCAATCAATTGGTAAAGAATTAAGATGCATTGTATCTCAATTGGTAAAGAGAACAGCATGAAGACAACTAATAATATTCATGTGAGAAAAGGTTTTATGGTGCTTAACGCCACAGTTATAGCTATCAAAAGATAAACCTTTTTTTATTTTTAAAACAAACTTTAGAATACGTAAGTCGTCCAATATATGAGCAGGGTAAAGATGTAAACAGTTTTCATAGATATTTGATATTATTGAGAAGGAAAAAGAAATAGTTTTAGACATTTTATTATAAAAACCTTCAAAAGAAGGAATATTATATGCTTCTACAGGCCTTGTGATGAATAAAAACTGCACGACGCATAAGCACAACGTGATTTTTGACGTCATTAAATTCTTTATCGACATTAACTGCACCAATTTACTTAATTATCGCAAAACTACTTTAAATCATTAATGTAGAAATGTTATTATTTAAAAATGTTTTGGAATGTTTTGTTTTTTAATATGTAAAAACATTTGTTTATTTTCTCGACGTTTGAGACGTTTTGTCTATACTAAATGAATAAAAAACATAAGTTTTAGAAATAATTGTTTTTTCTTTTAAAAAAGTCAGCGAGTAATAAACTGGAAATTTTAATATTGTACGATTAAAAACTGTGCAATAGCTAATTTTTTTACTAGCGATTTTATATCATATTTATTTATTTATTTTTATTTTCATAAAGCGGTTGATAAGCACAATCACTCGTATTACTAAAAAACTTTAACAAACGTTTTGAATAGATTATTAATGTTTACAAGGAATTTTATTTTTGGTAAAATAAAATAAAATAAAATGTTAGAATAAAAATCTTACATGTATAAAAGACATATTTCAGCGAAAAAATTATTCTTAAAAATTATTTGAAAAACTATCGACGTTCTATTTTTCAGCAGCTGTTCTTGAGCACGCTTCGTTGAGTTTCGGTAACTTTTAACAAAAAAGCGATTTTTATTATTTAAGTAATTTTTTTTGAGGAACTTTTTACAAAAATTTTAATAACTGTACTTTTTTATAGAATTAAGTAGAATACGTTTTAATATTAATCCTTTTAATTTTTTTTTTATTTGCACTTACCAATTTTTAAAATATTTCCTCGAAATTACTCTTAAATACTTTAAATTCGTCTCACAGTTAATAAATATTTTTAAATCTATAGAATAATTTTAAAACCTAACAAACCCCTGTAAAATAATTATTTAAGTTAAAAATCTAAAACTAAAAGAAAGTATTTTTGTTCAATTTTATCGACAACTTTGCTATTGCTGAATAACTTTATTAAAATGTTAGCTTAAAAAGATTTAAACTTTTTTTTTAATCTGAATTTTTTCTACTTGTAAATAATGAGCATTTTTTTTTTTTTGTAATTCAAACTTTTATATCAACTGCGTGCGGTTTTTAATATACTTTATTAAATGTTAAAATAATCGTAAATTACTTCATTAAAATTCCGCTCAAAAATATCTTTAAATATACTCAAACAAAAAAATTTTTGCTCGACGCAAATAGCCCTAGCTACACGCAAAATAGCTCTTGGACGACGTAAAATTCACATCGCCCGACACTTTATCGCAAGGCCAGCTTCTACAAAAGCCTCCATTTCATTAGGCATAGTACTTCTTAAAGGTGGCAATGATTAAGTACTTAGTCTTGGTGGTGCCAGTTAAATACAGATGGTGGATGTTTTAGTAACTTTCTGTAAACTAAATCTCTTTCATAGACCAATGATCTTCACAAATAAATGTATTTGAGCTATTTAAAATATTATCTTGAGGTATAGCACTTTTCCATCTTTTTTATTATTCCACATTTTTTTATATTTAGAAGGCAAAAAACTTTCACAGACTTTGTAATATTATAGATACCTCTGCATTCAGTAACACAACATATACTTAAATACCATATTCTTCAAATCTTAATAATTAGCTCTAAAAAGAAAGCAAATGTGTAAAATCCAAATGTATTGCGTATTAAATTAAAAGACCACATTCTTTTTCTGGAAAGCGCCATATGACAAAATATTAATTTGAAATTTATTCAAAAAAAGTTGCCTACAGTTTTTTTTTTAAGACATGTTTTCTTGATCTGTCTCTAAAGTAAGCCATGGAAAAAGAATAATATTTTATGGAAGTAAGCTTTTAGTTATCTTTATAGATTCTTTTAAGAGTTTCCTTATTATTTATTTGACTATTAATTTGTTATTATTATACAAGATGGAAAGAAGTCATTAAAAAGGTTGGGTTTGGAAGCATTTTAAAATCTCCATTTGTAACTCCAAGTACTAAGCCCAATCTACAACACCCAACTGGATTAAAACCAGAACAAAAACTAATTTGAACTCAGTAAAAAGACAAAGGTTTCATGACTCCATCATTGAAATGAAATTTTCAGCATGCAACCATGGTCGGTTGTCAATAAAGCTGGTTTTTTGTGACACCATGCCCTAATTGCTTCAATTTATGAAATTGCAAGAGCAAAATATTACAAATACATGTTGGACCCTACATACGATAAGATAAAAACTGCTCTAAAAAATTTTTAAAGGAAGAAAACCTTAAATTCCTGCATGGTTGAACTTTTGTCATGATTATTTAGAGATGACAATTCATTTTATTTCAAAAGACTGATAACTAATGAGGTTCTGTTTGTCATGTTTCAAGTTTGACAACGCCACAAATCAGCAAACATTTATTAAAAGATTCAAGAAATAGCAGAGGAAAAGATTGGGATATTGCTTTAAAAATTAATATTTGTTGGAGAGACGATGCTGCTAATTTTAAAACAGCCTTTAATGGGCATGGTTGTGTCTATCTATCAGCTGGGTGTTTTAACCATTCTCTTTAACTAGTTATTAAGAACTTTTCTCAATGGGTTCAGTCAAAGCCCTGCTTGTTAAATGCCAAAAACTTTGCACTTATGCGTCCTACACGAACAGGTTTTATGCCGCGCTCTTCAAATATCAAGAAGTCTAGATGGACAATGAAAAATGACTTAGATGTCATTGCAACAAGATTGAACTTGACTTTTTTTATATGCTGCAAAAAATATTGCTTTGAAAACCTGTGATTTCCACCACAATCCTTGTGTTGCATCATCTGGCATGGAATCTTCATGAAAAGACTGGATTGTTTGTAAAAAAAAAAGTCAAAATTTTGCTCATTTTTTAAGAAGCCACTGAACTTTTTTCTGGAAGTGATTCTTACATCAGTACTTGCATCCCCATTGTAAAAACTATAATAAAGTCACTTGAAACTAAAAGTAAAGATCATGATAAGATTACAATAAAGCATGCCATGAAAATCGTAATGGAAAGTTGTTTCCACAGAGCATGGAACAAACTAAGCACTATTTCATTGCAAATTGAACTGCTTACTTGATCTAAAGTTCAAGCATTATTTTTTCCATTCCCTTGATGCATGTAATGGTCTAAAAGAAACAATCCTAACACAACTGGATTTTTTACTGCCATCTCTCATTAAATTCAAACAAGTTTCCAAAAAATCTAACACTTTGGGTTTATATAACTTATTAAAAATATTATTGCCTAATCTCAATTAAAATTAGACCAAAGATCAAATTCTAGACTGACCAAAAAGATGAATGATTATCTGGATTCTCAATTATTCTGACTGTCTAGACTTCTAGAAGAATTACAAAAACTTAAATCGAAACATGTGTAATCAATTCTAATATATGTCTAATTAAACAACAAATATAAAATTGTAATTTTAGAAATTTTATAAAAAAATAACTTTTGTTTAACAAAATCTTCTGCATTAGTTTCTAGACAGACAGTTTTTTGGAATAGTGACCATACCTGATAGGGTGTGTTGAGGAAAACTAAAATGGTTTGGGCATGTAGAGGGTATTCTATATATAATGCAATGCTTACCTTAACACTTGAACTGTGGCTGATAAATAATTTACTGACTCATTTAGCAAGTCAATGATTCGCTTATGACCAGAATTAATTCTGGATCATTTTTTTTCTTATATTGTGCAACCTCCTTCATCATTAAGAATAACTTTGTTAGTCTTGTGACCGTCTAACATTTCAATCAAAGGAACTAAAAATACTTTAAACCATTTTGTTTCTTTGCACAGCAATCTAGTTTCTCAAGGTTCGTGTTTTGGAGTCAAAGAGTTGAGAGGTTATAACCACAATTAAGTAGCCTCCTCATCTGTAGTGGCCTTTTCGGCCTTGGGGAGGTGAATTGATAAAAAACAAAACAAAAAAAAAACAAACAGAAACCTCAAAAATATTTAAATAAACCAAATAACAAAATAAAAATTACTTTTCCAAGCATTGTTCCACTCTCTCTTAACTGCTTAGTTAATGCTCTTGTATCTATTCCTATAAATCAAATTTATATGTTTATCTAGATTTCTAAGAAATTTATATGTTTATCTAGATTTCTAAGAAATAAAAAAACTACTGTTTTTATACTTCAAACTATATTTTTATACCGTATATTCCTGGAATTTTGTTGCTATCACACCATTGTGAGAGCGATTGGACAGCTGACCAATGACTATAATTCTCTGTCAAATCTCCAACAACTAAACCACTTGTCCATATTTTGTAAGACTCAAAATTCTCTAAAAGATCATATTTATCTCTAGTAACATCCGGCACTCCATAGTTTCCGAGCAATGGAAAAGTAAAAACAAGTATTTGGCGATTATATGAAGGATCGGTTAAAGTTTCAGGGTAGCCAACCATGCCAGTTTGAAACACTAAAACAAAATATAAATAAACAAAAATTTGTACCAAAAAATTAAAAGAAGAATTTAAGCTAGCTACTATCTAAACTAGATAAACACTTACAACTAAACAGTAAAAATTAAACAAATAATGTCATAAAAAATTAAACAATTAACAATTGTCGTAAAAATAAGTTAACAAATTGCGCTGTAAACAGATATTAAAAATTTAGCATATTGTTTTCACTTGGGACAAGTGAAAATTGAATGCTTATTTAGAATACTGTTTTCATTTGTCATTAAAAATTTTTCAAATGCTTTTTCATTTGCTTTTTATAGTTAAACCCATTTAAAAAACTATAAAAAAGAAAATCTACTTTAACCAAAAAAGTGTCAAAAAGTTTTTAACTGTAAACTTTGTTTTCGATGCTTAATGCATTATACAGGCTGGCCACTCAAATTTGAAAATGAAATTCCATGACTTTTCCATGACATTTCCATGACTCTTCATAAACTTTTATGGTAAATCATTAGAGCAAAATATTCAGTAGTTGCCATGCGCTAAGCATTTGCAACTTGGTCATTATAAAACATGCAAACCAAAAACTAATTGGTAGAAAGTTCTGAAATCATGTCTGAAAAAAACTCTTTTTCTTTTACTTCAAAAAGAACTTGGACTAGACATACTTGTAATTTTCTTCACATCTTAAAAATATCACAAGTAGAAAAAAATAAAGATCATTTTAAAAACTTTTCCATGACTTTCAATGAAAATTTAGAAATTCCATGACTTTTTCCATTACCAAATAAAATTCCATGACATTTCCATGATTTCCATGACCAGTGGCCACCCTGTTATACTAAATAAATCAATGACCTTTGATTAAGCACAAGGCAAAGAAATACCTTTTAAAAAACTCTTTGTTTAAAGTTTATTAGAACTTTAGTTTTTTTATGCTTTCAAATAACAATAAAATTTCCATTTTTTTACACAAAAATCTTTTAAAGTAAAATGAAGTAATTATAATTTGCTTAAATCTCATATAGAAATTACAAAAAATTGTCAAATGTCATGAGACGTGTAACTTTTAATTATGCACAAAATATGAATGCATATGTAATTAACAGTGCTTGAAATAACAATTAGTCAATGATTGGCTACTTTAGCTAAATTGATATTTTGACCTTAAAAAATCTAATGCAAATCAAACATTTGTTATTTTAAGAATGAATAAATTAAAAAAAAAAAAGTTAAAAATTTTTTAAAAAGTGCCATAATTAAAATGAAAAATTGAAAATGCTGTATGTTTTTGATTGATGGAATACACATAGTTTTAAGACCATAAGAATCATTAGTTTAAACAATATCTCCTTGTTAATCATATATTAAATAAAAAGTATCTAAAGAGACATTCAGATGTATCTGGAGCAAATGCATCTATGCACAGAGTGAACATTTAAATAAAAGCTTTTATTTTTTTTTTTTTTTCAAAAAGTTTATTGTATCAATATTCTGGACACTCTAGGTAAATCATTATTTTAACTTCTGTAGCTAAAAACTCTTTGTTTTTGAGTCTTTTGAGTCACAAGACTCATATTGAGTCAAAGAGTTTGGCAATTTTAATATCTGCAGTTGAGGTTTCAAAAATTGTAAAACAAGTTTTATTCTTAGTGAGAATTTCAGTATCAAACCTAATGCAGCAGACAGCATATAGAAAAATAAAAAAACTATTTACCTACTTCCCCTGCAACACTTTTTTTGTAACCAAATAATTTCCCTTTAAACTCACTTCCATTTTCCAACACTAATTTTGCCATAATTGAAATCTTGCTTAATTCTAATGTGAAAAACCGTGCACACACAAAGATTATATATATATATATATATATATATATATATATATATATATATATATATATATATATATATATATATATATATATATATATATATATATATATATATATACAAATTTATTATTGCTCTGTTCTTTTAAAAACATTTAACACTCTATTTTGTAGAATGAATTTAAAAATTTTCTCTCTCTCTCTCATATATATATATGCAAACACACATACTTAGATATATACATACATACATACTTACATTAATTATATGTATATAAATTGATTTCAGATTAAATAAATTAAAAAATTTTTTTACTAACCTTATCAAATTAAATGAAATATTTCTTTAAACTGTCTTTATTCTAAAAAAAAAAAAATTTTAGCACCTCCATCAAGCTTTTGACAACTGTGATGGAGGGACTGCTTGTTTTAAAAAAAAATATGTATATATATAATATTTCACATATATTATATGTATATAATATTTTACATATATTATATGTATATAATATTTTACATATATTATATGTATATAATATTTTACATATATTATATGTATATAATATTTTACATATATTATATATATATATATATATATATATATATATATATATATATATATATATATATATATATATATATATATATATGTGTGTGCGTGGGTGTGACAATATTTCATAAGTTTAATAAACATACAATACATCTACTAATAAAATTTTACACATCTAATATATCACAATCTAATAAATTACATCTTAATTTAGAAGAGAAAAAAACGCAGAAAATTATTAAATGGAAATTCTTTAAGAGAAAATTGACCCGGAAACCATAGCAAATTAACTAGAGCCTTACATTGTTAGTTTGGAAAACTACTATTGCTGGTTACATCTCTTATTACAAAAAAGGATGATACATCAAATACAAGTTTGTAATTTAGAATGTCCATGTCTAGGAAATCCTTACATTTAAGAATAATGAAACTGCCTTTTATTCAAGTCTTATAACGGTTACCTTCAAAAACGAACCAGACCGAGATATTGTACTGAAAAACTGCAGATACCATAAATCAGACTGTAAGGTATTTTTTCCTCTGAGGATAGAACTCCAGCTCAACAATTAGAGTTTATTGATCTAAGAGTCAAGTTAAATCATAACAATCAATTAAAAGATGCTAATATTCTTTTCCAGAATTTTTTTCCAGAGAAAAACATTGATACCCCCCTCCCATGCTCTAACAGAATAGCACCAATGCTTCATCTACCATCTTCACATCATCAACCAACAACATCTTTTAGTCCAGTGAAATTTCTACATATTCTTAATAATATCAATTTAAATCCTTTAGCCACCGCTTTAAGGCATGAAATTAGCTAAAAGTTCTCACAACTACCATACGCCTTTGAAGATCCAGATGCCAAGTGTTTTTGGGTTAAGGAAAATAAACCATGATCCAACTTGAGTAACAACATCTGATTTGATTTGCCTTGACTGGGTTCTAACTAATACCCTTAGGTAATTCCGAAACTCTAAAACTACAATTTCATTACTTTTTCCGCCCAACATATAAATAAAAACCCTTGTTCAAAACCTGAATGCATTCAAATGTGTGATCTGTGAAAATTAAAGATACTGCTGCTGCCATACAATAATTTGATATACAAAGTATCCATTCAAACCTTGACTCTGACCCATTTGGTTCATTCTCAGCCTTCCAGAATGCTATACTGATGCACAAAATAAACACCAGCCTCTGTGCACTTATTAGGTCTACAGTGACCAAGAACGCATGATTGCGGGTCAACGTTTTCACAAGCAGCTTTTATGACTTGATTTCTTGGCTGACATTATTATTTAACTTTTAGCAATCCGGAATGCATCTTACTATAAAAATAAATATAAATATGTCAAAAGTAGTAATAGTATGTAGTCTTGCACACTGGCTATCAACCCAAATCCACAGCTTACCCACAGGTACTAAATTTGGTGTGAAACTAAATGTACAGTTTTGAGATATAGTTTAGTAAGAAATGATTAACCCAGATTAACCATCTTATTTTAAGTTAATCTCTTCTCCACCAGAATTCTCAAATCCTCAACTTCTCTAATGCCAGTGAACAACTCAAACGTATCAAAATGACACCAGACAGCAATTACGACATATTTGGCAAATTACTTTATACTGTGCACTTTGAACTAGTAGAAGCTCTAATTACAATTTTTAACCAATGCGTCAACTAATGTATTGTACTATCTGGTGGCTTTATGCAAACATACTCATTCCAAAAGTCAATAACTCATCTCTAATAACTGACTAAATTAGTTGAACGTATCCTTGCAAAACATATATTCTATGTACAGGATCAACTATTACTAAAAAGTCAATTCTGTTTTCTTCCTAGTCCAAATTTTAATTAAACCCAACTGATACCATCATACAGGCAATAGATGACTGGGGATATGCTATTGACTGCAATATTATTTGATTTTGTAAAAGCATTTCACCTTATTGATCACATTATTCTCATGCAAAAACTTGAGATCAACCTATTGTTGTGGTTAACATCCTGGATTGCAAAGCAGTTTTCCAACCATAAACAAGATGTGTTATCAGCAATGATACAAAGAAGCGCTCTCGGCCCAATCATTTTTTTAATCTATGTATGAGACATAAACATAAAACCTATTAATAGAAACTATACACAAGAAATATGAAGATAATATCATTGCTTACATACTCAGTAAAATTCTTTCCTTCCACAAGAAGTAGCAGATTTGCAGTCTTTAACAACAGTGCAATAATAAAATGTTCACTATTATAGCCAAATGCAAAAATATTTATAATGGCTGAAGTACAAAGCCAGTTATAACATTAAAAGGCAAAATTCTTGAAGTTGTAAACTCATACTAATATGTTGATATTAACCTTAACTCAAGCTTCAAATTTGAAAAACAGTGGATTAACATATATAATGAAATTGCTCCAAACGAATGTCTCTTTAAGCAACTCTGAATATTTAGTTGATAGTCTCTATCTATGCTAATATCTACTTACAACACTTTGACACTAACTTAGCCACTTTACTTACTACAACTCCGCATCCAATGATTCCTGTGATGCAACCTACCATGGTATCCTTCACATTTATAAACATCTTTATGCTGTCTCAGCACACTCAAATAAATTTAAAACAAACCAAACCATCTGATCACACTGCATGTCTCAGGTTACGGAAAAAAACATCTAATAGTACTGTTTAAAATATTAAAAGTCATTACTTTAAACAAGAATTTAATATATAATTTAAAAATAGTATATTACTTAAAAAATTTATCTTCATACAAGAAAGTTCATACGCTTCAAACAAGAAAGTTTAATATTGGTTATTTGGCCAAATATTGCAAACTATTTGTCCAAATACCAGATTGCAAAAAAATAAACGCTTAAAAGCAGCTGTGGTGCATAGGGTTGCCAGACATCCGGCTTTTACAAAGGAGAACACGGTAAAAAAATTTATTTTTACAGGTTTGGCGCTGTATTCTCCTCCGTTAAAGCCGGACGTCTGGCAACCCTAGTGGCGCAGTGGTAGCGCACTTGCCTCAAAAACGTAAGATCTGTGGTTCAAACCCAAATTCTAAGCACCTCTTGCAACATCGGTTGGGATGGAGGCGCGAACTTCCTATTAAATGCTCTTCCGCAGTGCTCTGTGATAAGACCATAAGAACTTCTTGGGGCAGGGCACCTAATCAATAATCACCCTATCAACTTTAAAAAAAAAAAAAAAAACGGATTAGGATATTTGATACTTAAAATCTATAGGTGGTAAATTGCAAATCATGTGCAAACAATATACAAAAAGTTGGGAAATATAAAAAGTTATTTTGTTGAAATAGTGTTGAGAGAGCTGTTGTAGCACTTCAAAACATTTTGTCAATAAAAGAACGTTGCCTAACAAATAGAACATTTTTTATGACCACAGTCTTCACCAATTTTTAAATCTCATTCTTGTAGACATTATGATGAGCATGCATAATCACACTTGATGACAACATATTATAATTCAAACACAAAGTAACACACTAGGCAATTTTCTTTGTTGCAAGCTATGCCTTGTCAATAGATTTCTTCAAAATATTGTACTAGAGTCATTCCTTATAAAATTATTCAGACCATGACACCCATACATTTTTTTTTTTTTTTTTTTTT